TTCAGAAGTTGCTATGCCATTTAAAGTACAGGAAAACCCAGATTATGTTATGGCTTTGCACATTTCTAATAGGTTCATTCACAACATTTGAGTTAAATAGATGCACACCTGTTGACTTACTTTAAGGGAACACCTCAAACGGACTGTTTATTTGAGCGGCAAAGGATAAAACAAAAGAAAATGCCTAATACATCAGAAAGAGAAGTGTGGACCTCCTCCAGTCTGATTCACCATTGGGTACGATTTCCTGAGGCCTGAAGTTGCATCTTCTTTACACAATAATAAACATGTATTAAATCAACTGGGATGTCCAGACATGCTGTTCAGGAAGGAGATGCTTCTGTATCCCGGAGATTTACATGTTTTTATGAGAAATGTGTTTTTCGACCCCATAAGAAAAGGAAAAATACTTTGTGACGTTGCTTGCTGAAGCTGGTGAGTGGTTCTTTATCAATTTCTCTTTAACTTTTCAACAATGTCATATGAAAATCCTAAACCTCAATGACATTTCTAAATGAAACCCAAAAGTAGCATTACTTCAACATATTTTTTCTTAGGTAAATAAAAGTAAAAAGTAGCCTAAAAAACTTTTTAAAAGCATTTTGCTAAAAGTCTACTTAAGTACTGAGTAACTGTTCATCAAATCTGATTTAATATTTCAAAATGATGTCATCAGACAAAGTTATGTGTAAATTCAGAAACTTTAAAGCCTGAAAAAAAAGAAAAAAATAAATAACATATTACAAATGCACATAAAAGGTAAGATATACTTTGTTTCTTCCAGGAAAATTGTTGACAAAAAAAAAACATACAAATAAGAAATCTCACGTCGTAAGCTGTAGATATACACTGCTCAAAAAAAATAAAGGGAACACTCAAATAACACATCCTAGATCTGAATGAATAAAATATTCTCATTGAATACTTTGTCCTGTACAAAGTTGAATGTGCTGACAATAAAATCATCAATGAAAATCAAATTCATTAACCAATGGAGGCCTGGATTTGGAGCCACACACAAAATCACAGTGAAATAACACTACACGCTGATCCAACTTTTCTGTAATGTCCTTAAAACAAGTCAAAATGAGGCTCAGTAATGTGTTTGACCTCCACGTGCCTGTATGACCTCCCTGCAACGCCTGGGCATGCTGCTGATGAGGTGGCGGATGGTCTCCTGGGGGATCTCCTCCCAGACCTAGACTAAAGCATCCGCCAACTCCTGGACAGTCTGTGGTGCAATGTGACGTTGGTGGATGGAAAGAGACATGATGTCCCACATGTGCCCAATCGGATTCAGGTCTGGGGAACGGGCTGGCCAGTCCATAGCTTCAATGCCTTCGTCTTGCAGGAACTGCTGACACACTCCAGCCACATGAGGTCTAGCATTGTCCTGCATTAGGAGGAACCCAGGGCCAACCGCACCAGCATATGGTCTCACAAGGGGTCTGAGGATCTCATCTCGGTACTTAATGGCAGTCAGGCTACCTCTGGTGAGCACATGCAGGGCTGTGCGGCCCTCCAAAGAAATGCCACCCCACACCATTACTGACCCACTGCCAAACCGGTCATGCTGAAGGATGTTGCAAGCAGCAGACCGCTCTCCACGGCGTCTCCAGACTCTGTCACATGTGCTCAGTGTGAACCTGCTTTCATCTGTGAAGAGCACAAGGCGCCAGTGGCCAATTTGCCAATCCTGGTGTTCTCTGGCAAATGCCAAGCGTCCTGCACGGTGTTGGGCTGTGAGCACAACCCCCGTCTGTGGCCGTCGGGCTCTCATATCATCCTCATGGAGTCGGTTCCTAACCGTTTGTGCAGACACATGCACATTTGTGGCCTGCTGGAGGTCATTTTGCAGGGCTCTGGCAGTGTTCCTCCTGTTCCTTCTTGCACAAAGGCGGAGGTAGCGGTCCTGCTGCTGGGTTGTTGCCCTCCTACGGCCTCCTCCACGTCTCCTGGTGTACTGGCCTGTCTCCTGGTAGCGCCTCCAGCCTCTGGACACTACGCTGACAGACACAGCAAACCTTCTTGCCACAGCTCGCATTGATGTGCCATCCTGGATGAGCTGCACTGCCTGAGCCACTTGTGTGGGTTGCAGAGTCCGTCTCATGCTACCACGAGTGTGAACGCACCACCAACATTCAAAACTGACCAAAACACCAGCCAGACAGCATAGGTACTGAGAAGTGGTCTGTGGTGCCCACCTGCAGAACCACTCCTTTATTGAGTGTGTCTTGCTAATTGCCAATAATTTCCACCTGTTGTCGATTCCATTTGCACAACAGCAGTTGATATTGATTGTCAATCAGTGTTGCTTCCTAAGTGGACAGTTTGATTTCACAGAAGTTTGATTTACTTGGAGTTATATTGTGTTGTTTGAGTGTTCCCCTTGTTTTTTTGAGCAGTGTATTTAGGCATGTTCATTTTTAGTTGGAAAAAAAGAAAAAAAAAAGTTTATTTTATTTAGTGTGAATATATGTAACATCCAGAAATTTCACTCCGAATAAGACTAGTAATACTTCATAACACAATTACTCCAGTAAAAGTAAAAACATGGTGCAGTTAAACTTCTAATGTAAACGCAACCACTTCTGTGTCCAGACCTCAGTAATTGGACAGCCAAAAGGTTTCAGAGTTCAAGATAAGTCAGCCACATAAGAAGCTTAAATACATTTTTAAAAAAAAGTTAACTAGTGTGTGTAAGTTCATATTATAAACAGCTGTTTTGTGAAGATCTCAGATGTTTATTAAAGTTGTGTTTAGTTTTTTAGGACCCAATCAAAGCTGGCCTGATGCCCCAAATGTCTTCATACCAGTCTTGTGTTTTTGGAAGTAGAATAACTGTCATAAAGCAAAAAAGATGCTTTTTTTTTTTTTAATAATCTACACATTCAGGTTTGAGTTGTTGAGGTGATGTAGCTTTTCAGTAGGACTATATACTCTTTTTTTCAAACTAAAACTGCTTGGTTCCAGGTTGTCTCGGTCGCAGATGCAGTGGAACAGTCCTTTAATCTAGAGCTGAAAGCCAACTTCATGTTGTTGATACTTTATTACAGCTACTCTGCTCTGCACAACGGCCTGGCAAAAAGGGAGTCTTAACAACAAAAACCCGCATGCACAGTCCTCGACCCACGCGTTTTAAGAAGGAGGGGGAAACCGTAACAATAGGCCGAAGAGTACCTGGAAACTCAAACGAAGCAGTCGCGAAGGAAGTGAGCTCACAGAAATCTGCGCGATGGCGCCGCGATAGATGGCTCCTCAGGTTGGTGGTGTTTCCTCCCTTGGCGAGCACTATTTTCCGGCACAGACGGCAGATGACCTCCCCGGTGTTCAGAGGCTGTCCCTTGTCATCCGCCTTCAGGCCAAAGTACGTCCAGACCACAGATTTGCTCCTGGGTTTGGAGATGAGGTCCATGTTCCTGTGGTGTTTGTGTGCGGACCAGCCATGGAGCGGCCGCCAGAGCTGCAGCGCGTAGAACGAGCACCGTTGCGGGAGCGCCGCTGCTTTGATTAGGTGAGTGTAAAATTCAAACCATACCAGCACACGACCGTCACACAGTGCATAATGTGCCCGGCATCCGTTGTTGTAGTTTAAGGACGCTCAAACGTCAACACAAGGGTGCGCGGGTGCCGATCTATCCGCTGTACTTCTGCGCTTTTACGCATTTAATTGTCGACATACGTCAACACCATGCGATGGCTCAAGTTGCCAGGTCCACATGTCAACACAACTGCCCTGAAGTGCATGTGTGGATGTAAACAAACTCAAACTGGTCGATGTATGTGTTTGCAGTTTGAAGAATCGAAACCCCAACTGTTTTAGTCGTTACTTTTCCTTTATGGGACAGTTAAAGTTTTAAAATGTTGAGGAATGGAAAATCTCTTCTTTTTTTTTTAAATTGCTAAACTGCTAAAATTGAAAATTAACTCATAAAAGCAAGAATGTGTTTGATTTTTGTTTCGAAATATGACATTGAAATATATCAATTATATTTTCATTCTGGGAATGGGGTGTGTGGCAAAACACAGATGAATAGAAAAAGTAAATAAAACCGCCAACATGTTTTGGTTTTTTTTACACTGATGATTCAAAGTGGTTTGATTTATTTAAAGCAATCTTGTGTTTTATTCAAGATATCTTTTGCGAATGTGAGATGTCTGGATTGTTTGCGCTCTAAAGGTTTTTTTTTTTGGTAACTATCACATGGACGCTATTTTGGCTAAGTTTCTTTTATATCCTTGAATCAATAATTCAGCAACTGTGCTTTGGAGCTTTAGGTGACGTTCTGATTCTTTTATGACCTCCCAAATGAGTTTTGGATGTACTAGTAGTAGTTGCTCATCATCTCTTCTCCCATCATCTGTTGGGGCAGCATCATCAAAGCCAGGGACCTATAAACTTTCAACAGCCTGATGAAACAGCCTGGCACTGTTCTATGCATGACTGTGGAAACTCTGGATAACGATGATGCAAAGAAAGATTCTTCAGAAAATCAAGAAAATCACGAGCTATTAGGGACACTCCTTCAGTCAGAGGCTTATTCAGATTTGCCGTAACGCAGACTGCTACAAGAGATCTTTCCTGCCAACAGCCATCATCGTCTACTATAACTCTTTTGAAGAATCCGAACAAATGAGTTACAACATTTAGTTTTCCTTTGGAATCTACAAAGCATTGTTGAATTTGAAAAAGGAAGCAGGCTTACCTCAGATTTATTATACAGTCCAGAAAATTTGACTTAACTGCAGTTCCGTGTATAAAACTTAATGAATTTCTGGAACAATGTAAAATGTGAGTTTAACGGTTTTCTTTCCCTATGAAAACCACATTTTGTTGCTGTTCGTGTACAAAAAGCGGAGACTCAACATGACCGACGTGGGTATAAAACTCAAACCTGGCAACCCAGGGTTTCAGTGCTGACACTTGCTGTTTGATTTTAAGCTGACACAGACATTTTGTAGGTCAACCTCAGCGTCAGGTAAGCCGCTAAGCTGAGCGTTTTGCTTTCTGTCCTGTCGTCGCAGGAGCTTCTCTTACATTTCAAACATATTACGTCTCGGTCTTGAACCGCTATCCTTACGTCAGTGCGGCGCATTTTGTGGAAGCTTCGTTGTCCTCTGGGCGCAGTCGCTTTTATTTATTTATTTCGCTTTTATTACTGGTCTTTTCTGGTCTCGGCGGCTTTCCGTATGGAGCTCCGTTGCCGTGGTTACGGCGTTCGAAAGCGCCGTAACCACGGCAGTTCGCAAACGGCTAATTTCAGCGCGACGAAGTTGGTGCAAAACGCAAAGGAGTGGGGAGGAAAAATGGCCTCCTGCCTGGTTCCCGAGTTCCCCGCCGTCGTGGCGGCTCTGGAGCGTCTGAAGGACCTGGAGAGGGAACTCGGAGAGCAGGAACTCCCGTTCTCAGACGAGGGATGCGTCCACCTCACGGCCATCGCAGAAGCTGTAGCCGAGTTAGAGGCCGCGAGGCGAGCTGTCCGCGAGGAACTGGAAGTGGAGACGATAGAAAACTCCAAGCTGAAATTCAATATAATACAGATGACTGAACGCTTGAAGGACGACATCCTGAGAGACAAGGCAGCGGCCCGGGCTGCTAACATCGCGGAAATCGAGCAGCTCCGCAAAGGACTCAGTCTGTCCTCTCAGATCCGAGAGGAGAACGGGGAGAAGTGGCAGGAGCTGTTTGCAAAACGCAAAGCGCTTCAGGCAGAGAGCGATCGGGTGAGGGCTGAACACGAGGAGGTGATCGTCTCTCTGAACGTTCAGGTCAGCGTCAGGTACAGCAGGCAGCAGCATCTGGACGAGACGCTGGAGCGAACCGAGAAGTTGAGAAACGCCATCGCTGAGGTCGAGAGGCAGAAGTTGGCCTTCCAGCAAAGCGTGGCTGTGGAAATGGAGACTTTCTCCGAGAAAGAAGAGAAGTTGGACAAAATAATGTGCAAGAGGAGGGAACAGATTAAGCAGGAGAAGGAGATGGTTGACAAGATTGAACCGGAACTGGAGGAGCTTAAACAGAAGAAAAAGGCGACCAAAAGCAAAATAAAAAAGCTGGTCCAGGAGACGACCGAGCTGCAGGGCAATGTGGAAAGTTTGAAGACGTCCCTCTCTAGTTGTGAGCAGCAACTGCAGGAAGAAAGGCTGCAATACAAAGAGCTGAACCGACAGATAGAGAAGCAGAACAAGCGCAGCAAAATACTAGTGGAGGGCTTCAAGCCCGTAATCAAAAATCTGCAAGAGGAAATCAGCGGCGTGGATGATGAACTGGAGAAGGCTCTGGCTGAGCAGCTGCTCCTCAAAGATTCGCTGGCCTACTTTTCTAATGTGTGCAAAAATAAGCTTGGAGTGGAGCACGAGGTCCGGGCCGACTACCAGCAGATCTCCACGGAGCTGGAGCGCTCCCGGCTGCAGCTGGAGGAGCGCATCGGCTCCTTAGTCAAGTACAGCAATGATATAGTGGAGCTTGAGAGGATTATCCACGAGCTCGAGGAGGACCAGCTGATCAACAGGCGGATTGCTGAGTCCAAAAAGAAAGAGTTGATCGCCGATCTGAAGGAGGCGAATTCCAAAATCGAGCTGTTAGAAATGGAACTCAAGGGGCTCAGAAAGATCATGTCGGCCGAGAAGACCAAGCAGCAGAGTTACGAGAAGAAAATGACGTACGCAATACGGAGCGTCAGGGGGAGGTATGAGGCGCTGTTGCAGGAGCAGGCTGCGCTGCTTGAGCGGTGCCCTGACAGCGGAGATTTTGACTTGATGCTCTCTCAGATGGCTCAACTGGAGAAGGAGAACAGAGAGACGCAGAGCCTCCACCAGCAAGAGGTGGATCGGATCATCGCGGAGACGGAGGAGATCAATAGGAGGATCAGGGAGAAGCAGAGGGAGCTGGAGGAGCGAATGAAGATGCTGAAGGAGGTGGAGAATAAGTGGAGAGAAGAGAAATTGAGGAACGACAATCTGCGCAAGCAGAAAGAAGCGCTGCTTTTCAGGAAGTCTGAGCTGGAGCGAGCCATCCGGGACACAGCGGAGCACACCAGAGAGCTGCTGGCCCCCAGAGAGAAGATAAAGGCCGAGCTGGAGAAGCTGCGGGAGTATCACAGCAAGACGGTGGTCAAACAGAGCTCAGACCTGAGAGAAATGGAGGTGAACATGTATGGGCTGAATCTGATGCTGGGGCAGCTCAAAGCAGAGAACAGGAGGCTGCACCTCGCCACCATACAGATGACGGAGGACATCAACACCAGCAGGCAAGAGAAGGAGAGGTACCAGAAGGAGGACCAGGAGTTCAGCAGCAGAACAGAGGCGCTCCTCAAAGAGATACAGGAAGGATTTAGACAAGATAACTATTTGATTAAAGGCATCAAGGGGAATGACGACGAACTGCTGTCGTTTATGGGTTCAGGGTTGGAAGAGCTGAAGACCAGGAACCTGCAGCTGATGAGCATCATCACGCTGATGCACCAAGTGATGCTGGAGTTTAGCAAACGACTGGGAGATAAAGCAATAGAGCGATGGCAGAACGAGCAGACTGTGCACTAAACATCTTCATGCATCACAAGACAAACCTGCCTGCACTATCGGTATAGGAGCCGATCAATAAACGAGAATAAAAACAATAATAAAAAGACATGTTCTCTATTTGTCGTTCTGCAATATTTGTGACGTTTAAAGAACATAGTCTATTTTTAGATAGGGGGAGTTAGTGAAACAGTTCTAACATTGTTCCAGCAATGTTAGTCATACACAGTATGTGTTATACTGTTGAATTTTTTTCTTTTTCAGTGCATTAATTTAGAATTGGAGCGCTCTCTGTTTTTTTTTTTGTTTTTTTTTGGCAACTCTGACAGATGAATAAAAACTCACAAAATAAATAAAATTTTAACTGCTGTTTCATTTTCTGGCTCTGGTCCTTCTGTAGCTTCAGGGATATTTTTAAGACACGTAGGTGTTTTCTTGTAGCTTAGCTTTGCAGCTCAAGACATGTGTCTTTACTTATCTTTCCTCTTTTTGCAAAGCAAGAAATGGGCACATGCTTTTCACCATTCATTGTAAATAGAAGATTCCAGGTGCTATGAATATCTTAGAATGAAGTGCGCATCAGGGGTGAGTTTTTACAGTAATTTTGTTATTATTGTGATCAAATTCTCACCAGGATAGTAAATTTTGATTTATCATTGTCACGATAAATTCTAATTAACAATGTTTAAACTCCCCAAAACTATTTCTCTTCTCTTGTGTCCTTTAGAAGCAAAACACAGACGCGTTTGTTTTATTTGTGCATGTGGGGCTTTGATTGCTGTGACAGTCACTGCCATACGGGTAGTTTTCTGTAATTTGCTCTCACTATTTCAAACACGCTTCCCTTTTCCTCACCACAACATGACGCTGCCACCACCATGTTTCTGTGTTAATGCCTCCTTCCCCTCTCTTGCCAGACGTCCCAGCTGATGTTCTCCGTGTGATTCCAGCCAGCAGATGGCAGAACGGATCCGGTTTCTCTCCGCTGTGACCTTGCCCTGCTTCTAGAGGGTCAGTTAATTCTTTACCCCAACTCCCCCCTCTGAGCTAAAGTGTGCAAACACTCGCTGAATGAGCCACTCGCTGTGGCGCTTTCTGGCAGAACTAGATTCTGGTTCAGAGATAAAAAGGCTTCGCTGCTCCAGGGTTGAACTTCAGAAGAAAGGGATCTCTTAACTCTTGGAAAGAAGGTGGGTGTTTGGAAAACAAGAAGTTGACTTTGCTGTGTATTTTCACTTCTGTTATCTTGTATATCAGCTTAGACTGAATTGTATATTTAGAGAAGCTTCTTGCATGTATTTCTTACATCAAGGTTCCTAAATATGTGTGTGGCATACGTGCTACAAGGTTTTCCTCCCAGAGGGGATACTGCTCCATAGACTCAGCTTGTTGCTGTTGTCATTCTGCAGCTTTGCCGATACATGTTGGTTATTAAAATCAGCGTTAAAAAACAAAACGGATTAATTTATTGTTTGAACACACAGCATATCTCAAACCTTTTGCTTCGCTGGGTTTCTCTCAGATTGTCTGTTCAGCGAGAACAGAACTGACCTAAATACAGTAATCAAATCTTACGTGAGATAAAGACGGTTCTGTTTCCTTGTGACCGAGTGCTGGAGCCAGATTTACTATAACAGCCACATGATCGTCGCTGTTTATGTTGCGTTGCCTCACTCAGGCTGCTAAGGTCAAAGAGCAACGGGGCAACGGAACACCACAGAGCGGAAAGATCCGATCTCTGCTCACACGTCCCGCACAGACGTAGGAAATTATCGGAGAGTTTGCGGTTGCAACAGTGAACAAGTTATGAACGTCGGTAAACATCATATGGATCAAGTCGAGGCTAATCGTATTTTTTATGGAAATGTTTCCCCTGCAGTTTGTTTCTGTTGATAAATATCATGTTTATTTGTCATCGATAAACAGCGTTGTTAGCATTTCTTTTATGGGTGTGGCAGACAAAAAAAAACAAAAAAACAGTTCTCTAGTTCATAGCTGTAACCTTAAGGATTCAACAATATCAAATAAAAAACAAAGCAAGGTACTTATGTCTTTAATGAAACAATAAAACACTTCAGTTATGTCATAGTTCAGTTACATAATTTGTATGTAAGGATAGTTTTAACAACAGAGTTCTTCCTTCCTACTACTTGCTAAGCAGGTTTTGATCATAATCTGTTTTTAAATCCCTCTGTCATGTGTGGTTTTAAGCCTTGCTTCACCGTTATAAACATATGATAGATAATATATGCATTTCTTTATGAGAGACAATAAAGAAATGCCCATACATGATAATAATGATAATGATAATATATAAACAGTATATTTCTGTTTATACTGCAAAGTATAAACAGAAAAGGTTATACTTTACAGAATTTGAACTATATGTAGAGGAGAAAATAAAATAAAACTTCCTGTTTTTAAAAATGAACACATCCAAACCAAATCCTTCACTACACTCTTGTTAAAAGGCCAAGTAACAAATGAGACTTTAATATGTAATTTTAAAAGGTTTTTTCCGTATTTTATGCAGCATACTTTGAACAATTGAACAACAAAAAAAAAACATTTGTCAGAGGAAATTACACATCATGCTTAAAATACTTGCTACATAAGTGTGCAAATCCTGATTCTAATATTTAGTTGAAGCACAAAATATTCCAAAAACCTTGTTGGAAAATGTGTTGATATTTGATAAAACCAACTTTACACCTTTGGACCCCAGTTTTGTAAAGCATAAGTTTTATGAACAGCCCTGCACGTCACTCAACCACAGTGAAGCATGGTGGTGGCAGTGTCACGCTCTGGGGTTTCTTCTTTCCGGTTGAAACAAAGGTTTTTAGCAAGACAGAAATGATTTCAGGTTGCAGTGAACTTTGTGTGTTACGTTCTCGCTGATTTGCCAGAGAACTGATCTTTTGAATCCCTTGAACAGTGTTGAGGACAAGCGACGTCTTTCCAGTCAGAAATGCGGAGAACCTTTTCAGGCTTGTAGCCAAAGGTCAAGATGCAGCCGCATAGACTGACCACCGAGACTGAGTCAAAAGCTGCTCCAACGGAGTGTTGGTTCAAGTGTGACTATGCACACAGTTGGAAAACATTTTTAAATAATTTGTCACGGCCTATTTCATTCACATGACCAAAAGCCTGCGATCTTAAGAAGACTTTTTTTTTTTAACACCTTTCTTTAGATTTGAGCAAATTGAAATTTTGAAATTGTATTTTAGTGTCTCCCGGTGTTTCTTGACAACAGATAATAGGTTTTGTGTGGATAAAGTGACTTTCACTCGTGTGCATCAGAGCTTCCTCTGCAAAAACATACAATCTGATGTAGTAGTGCTTGTTCTCCTACTTGTTCTTAAAGATGTGTACCTGATCGCGGCACCTTGTTTTCTGCCTGGAGGCATTGCAGCTCATCACGGAAGCGTCTGTGTCGGCTCCGAGACTGCTGGGAAAGAAGCCACGCTGGTTTTCATTGGACGTTCAGAGATTTGTGAAGGTCTCTGAAACACAGTGATCCAATCATTGTTCAGCAAGAACAGTTAGTTCTCCGCCGTCGTTTTACCCGACTGTCTGCTCGCACACGGCCACCCAATGAAAGTGTGAGGTGAAGGACGTAATCTTTTCATCTGAATTATGAGAATTAAACTGAAGCAGGACAAAGAAAGAACCTTGTGTTCTGGATAAAACCAGGCAGATAGAGCACATCACCCGAGTTCATAACCTACACTGGCTCCCTGTAACTCAAAGAATAGACTTTAAAAAAATATGGTTTATAAATCATCAGCAGTTTAGCACTAAAACACATTGAAGATCTGCTGTTCAAGCTTCCAGACCTCATGTCTCCGGGTTCTGGTCTGTTCTGCATCCCCAGAACCAGAAGAAGCAGCATTCATCTTCTATGCATCACAAATCTGGAACAAACTCCCAGAAACCTACAAAAAAACAGCTGAAATATTGATTGATTTACTCTTTTCACGCTTACTGTAAACAGAATTATTTGATGATTGGTTGAAACAAGACAGAAAACTCAAAACTCTGACAAATTTAACGGAGGGTGCCGTTAAATTTCAAATAGTGCGCAGATTCTCAATGGTATTTAGATCTTTGATTAGGTCAAATACCTCTGGGTGGATGTTTAAGTTCTTGCTGGAAGATGAACATCTGCCTCCTATTTTCTTTAATTATTAACCTGCATTTAGCTCAGTTGATCTCTGATAAGCTTCATTAACCCCTGCTGGGGAAAAAACACCCCACAGCATAATGTTGCCACCACCGTGGTTAATGCATTGGGACTTTGTATAACTTTCTTTCCACTATCATTTTCTTCATGCCATTGCTTCATCAGTCATATTTGTGGAATGCATCCCGACTGGTTGTCCTGTCAATAGTCTCTTTTTTTCTGAGCTTTTCTGAGCCGTTTTTGCTTTAGGGACAGCCAATAAAGCTCTTTGAGAGCCGCAACTTATCACTTATCAATATCACTTTCTAAAAAAATAAGCTTTAAACACATAGCTAGTTTAGGGATTTTTTTTTTGTTGTCATTTTTAAATGACAAAACATTTTTAGGATTTAGAATAAATTATAGGATTTTAAATAAAGATTAACATAAAACAGAATAGATATGTTAGTATTTTTTAAAAGCATATTCTGACTTATGACAAGGAAATATATATATATATAGCTGAGGCCTTCACAGAACAGCTGGATTTATAGTCAGATTAAATTACACGTTTGCCCACAGTTTGTACATCTTTGTCCCAATTTTATCTGTTTGTGGTTGTAAAGTGGTAAAATGTGGAAACGTCAAGAAGTGTCAATACTTTAACAGTACACATTTAATTTTGTTTTGGCCTTGTGATGCTCCTGTCGTCTGTCAGAGTGGCCCCAGCTCTCGACCCAAGAACAGGAAAAGCCAAGTCTAGGATTCTGTCATTTGTATCTCAAACTTTCCAAACTCCTAAAACAAAAACATTTGTAACGCCCATCAATAATAGCTGCATGATAGCAAGGCTAAAGTGAAAAACTACAGGTTTTACAGCTGAAAATGATTTGATTTTACTTCTAATTACACTGCTGCGCATGTTTTTGAGCTCCTTTTAAAAAGTCTCCAAATCTGAGCCAGCAGAAGCAAAGCACAACATTGTTGCAGGCAGTTTAGCTATTTAGCAAATAACCGTTCATTACTCAATGTACTGCTGGGACATTTAAAACGAATTTTTTTTAATTGTTTATATTATTAATATGACCATAAAGTTTGTTCCCTGCATTGTAAACATTCAGATTATATCTAGTTATATAAGTGTGGAAAAGTACAGTACTCAACTGGGGAAAAAAACCAGCTGTGTAACAATAGTGAACATACTTTTGGAGTTATGTGCGCGGCGTTTCAAAACACAGGCGGAGGCAGACGGTGAAAAACGCCTCGCACGTTTTGCGCACCGGTGCCAAGGCTGTTTTGTAATCATGCAGCATCAAGCCGATTTATTACATAAAAACGCACTGAACCAGCTCAGCAGCATGTGACCTCTGATGCCCCGCTGGTGCCGGTGACGCCGGCTTCCTGATCTGGAGGCTTTAAAAAGGCAGCAATGAGAAGAGAGGGCAAACGCATCCCAGTCTCTGCTGACAGCAGCCACATCTGTGAGGAGGACGGTTGCATTTAGAGGAGTCAGAGAACGTTGTAGTGAAGCGCTGCAGCTGAGGACAGTGATGGAGACTTTAGGTGAGTCGGAGCTCTCGACTGATTGCAATGATGAAAATATCTCGAGTGATGAACTAGTAGGAGATCTGATGCGATCGTTATCTCTAACAGACCATTCACCGGATCAAGGGTTTAAAGTAAAATAAACAGAATAAACTTTGGCTAATTCGCTTTTATTGGATTTTACATTTTAATATTTATGAACAATTATATTCTTCTACAAGTTTTACTTTGAGCTGGAAGAAAACTGATCCAGACAATTTCCATTCATGTCCAAACCAAATTAATTTCTTACAACAAATTTGATCAGATAGTTTATTTTAGGCTGTTTTCTAAACATCTAATTTAAAAACTTGATTTTATTGATTAAGTCCAACAAAGATTTCCGAATGTAGATGAAAGGTGGGTTTTTGTGTAAAGGTTGCCTCCCTTTAATTGTGATTTTAATGAAAGCATCCTACTAACATAACTGGTGAATCAAAAGCTGTCTGCGCTCACAAGCTGATGTTGTTAGAACAACTACAAAGATGATCTTTGACCAATTTTTTTTTAATCAAATCGAAATTTTCTCCTTTTGTTCATTTTCCAGTGATGTAGAAATTGATCAAAAGAAATGCTTTCAGTGTTCAGATGATGAAAGGCGTTTTGAGGTTTTGGACGTCTTGCAGCTGTTATCAGTGACCAAATCTGTGGAGGTCTGTCTTTGCTCGAGTTAAAAGGCAGAAAAGGACGACTTGCTGTTCAACTCAATACTGACGACTGATGGGAATCTCGTCAGTCCTGCAGGCCTGTCATCTTGAATGACTGAGGAAGGTGACAGGTGTCTGGATTTTAAAAGGGCAGCTTGTTCTAGTCATTTTTCACTCTTTAGTTTGTGTATCATCATTCATTAGAGGTACGTGATTAAAGTCTTTTTTAATCACGTACCTCTAGTTTTACATCATGCAGAGTAGAGACATTGGCAGCAAACATTTGTAGTTTTAAACATTTAGACATTGAAGTTTTAAAACTGGCCCACGAGGAGACGTCGTGTTCTGAAATCTGGATTGTGGACATGGAGTCAGGTCTGCAATGGGTGTGAATGGAGTTGACTTTCAGAAGATGTGTGCTGTTGATTCTTGCGCTGCTGTAAGTCTGAACATTTTGAGTTTTTTCCAAATTGATTGAGGAGACGTAACACACAAATGTTCAAAACCATGTCCCAAATCTTTAAGTGTAAACAGCACATACTGATATGATACACTTATGACAAATTAGTTTTATTTTTTTCTTAATGTCTTTTCTTTCACTTCTGTACTTTTTATGTGTTTGATCAGCGCCTCCTTTGACCACATAAGTTGTATTACACAAACATTGTTTTCTAGAAAGTACAAAAAGTATAAAATTGTACTAAGACACATTTTGTTTTGAACTTTTACATGAGATTTTGACACTGACAGGTTGTTGTATGACTGGTTTCTGCTAACTAAAGGCATCAGGCTGACACTTTAAGTTGTTCACGCTCAGTGAGATTCCCAAGTGTTGTTTGGTATTTCAGGAAGTTATGTATTTTGGTTTAATATAGAAACCAGACTCAAGCTTCTAGCATTAAGATTTTAATTTGAAAATAATCTCACTTTTAGTCTAGATGTTTTGGTAGATACATCTTATTGAAATAGAAAAAGTTGACAGCACTACTGAGACTGATTAAATAATGTGTTATTGCAGGTTAAGGATTGTTACTGGGGAATTTTCCGTAAGTATGGAGTCTATTAAGTATGTCCATCAACTCTTTATAAATAAAAAGACCAGGTGTTTAGTCATTTTATTTCATAAAGCTCACCAGACGTGAAGCTCTGAAGTCGACTTCGCCTTAGGAACTGGGAATAATCCAGAGGTTTTTCTAATTTCAGCGCGCCGGCTCCAGCCGTCTTGTGGAAGGGTAATTTTTCTCCTGTGGTAATCATGCGGGGCCTTTCTCTCTCCACAAGTGTGTCCGATGGGTGGAGGGGCCACCAGACTGTACAACACCCTGACTCAGACGTTCAGCGGCAGCAGCTCCCCTCTGTCCATCCCTCCATCCTACCTGAGCCCCCACCGGCCCGCTCTTCCCAACCTGGATTCAGATTTCTGCCTGGTAAACAAACCTTCTGCATTTCCCTCATACTTTATTTTATTTTGTGTGTTCATGAGATTGCTTTTTTATTGAGAGACATTTTTCCGCCCATAAAGCTGAACGCTATCTGTTGTGTGTTTCTGGGGGCAGCAGCAGAAGAACTCCTCCATATGCCCCCTTGACCCGGTGGAGCTGCTTCAGCAGTGTGAAGAGGCCCTCAGGGACCGACCTCCTCACCTGCATAGAAACTTTGTCCACATCAATGATGGAGACGACGTTGCCAGCATGCCCATCAGGGTGATGCAGTGGAACATCCTAGCCCAAGGTAGACAGGTTTTTATTGACATCAGCTCATTAAAAAACAGGTTTATTAAGGAAATCTGCATTTCACTTTGATTAGTCTAAAATCTGAAGTTTCCCCCCAAGTCTGTTTATTTATTTATTTCATAATCTAAGAGACGTTATCTGAGAGGCTGCTGCAGCACTCTGACGCTGCTGCAGCACTCTGACGCTGCCTGAGGCTTTGGTTCACTGTCACAAACCTTACTTGCTGCCCCCTAGTGGCCATAGAAGCAAAAACCTTGCAAGCCTTTTGCATTTTGTGACATTACAACTAGAATGAATGTTTCAGAGGTTTGTTGGAGAACATCAGTGAACAAACTGCATGAAGACAGGTTAGGAATTGGAGACCGACAGGATTTAAACCGGGTTAGTGTTTCAGTTAGGGGTGGGCATTTATTATATCATTTATTGCTATTGATTTCTTCTTATCACAATAAATACCAATTAATGACTTTTTAAAAAACTGTCCATAATTTCGGGATTGTTATTTCCAGTGTTTTCTCTAGTGTTTGTTTAATAAGTGTCTTTACACATCAGTACATTTGAAATTATGATTAAATGCAGTTACTGAGACTGTATGACTGGTGTCCTTAAAAAGCATATTACAAAGCTATTATTGCTGTGTCACACATTCACAGCCACAAGAAGTTAAAAGTAGGTTTAATCATCACTTGCATTGTCACAATAGTACCTGTGATTTGTGGTACTAAAACTCATATTCTGTCATGTAACAATGGAAAGGGTTTAACATTTCTGGTGCAAAATGACATGTTGGGGAAGACGAGCACAAGCAGTGACTCTGGATGAGCTGCAGAGATCCACAGCTCATGTTGGAAGACTCAGTTGACACGCTGCCATACAGAAACATGTCCCAGTGGTCTTTGAGTCTGGAAACCTTTCAGTGTGCCTCTGCGGTTTTTGGCACCTCACACCTTCCTCCTTCCTCTGACCCTCAGCTCTGGGCGTAGGAGTTGACAACTTTGTCCGGTGTCCCTTGGAGGCCCTCAGCTGGTCCCGAAGGAGGAGCCTCATCCTGGAGGAAATTCTGGCCTACCGACCTCACATCCTGTGTCTGCAGGAAGTAGACCACTACTATGACACCTTCCAGCCGGTTTTGGCAAATCTGGGCTACAGCAGCCATTTCTGCCCGAAGCCCTGGTCTCCATGCCTGAACGTAGAAGGCAACAGTGGTCCCGATGGCTGTGCCCTCTTCTTTGACGAGTCCCGATTCGAGCTCCTGGACAGTGTGAACATCAGACTCTCTGCCATGATGATCCCCACAAATCAAGTAGGCAACATTTCTTTCTTTTGTCTCATCAAGAATATAATAATGTTTTTGACACGGTGGACCTTTGCCTCAGGTCGCTGTGGTGACGACTCTGCGTTGTCGGAGCAGTGGAAGGTGTGTATGCGTCGCTGCGACTCACCTGAAAGCCCGATCTGGCTGGGAGTGGTTCCGCAGCGCTCAGGGGTCGGACCTCCTCTGGCACCTTCAGAATCTGGTCCAGAAGCTCGTCGGCGGCAACTCCAACGTCGGTGTCCCCCTGCTGATTTGTGGTGATTTCAACGCAGTCCCGTCGGAGGAAGTGTACCGACGCTTCGCCACTTCCCCTCTAGGTTTGGACTCTGCCTATAAGAAGCTCAGTCAGGACGGCGCGAGTGAGCCGGCGTACACGACGTGGAAGATTCGGGGCACCGGGGAGTGCTGCTGCACGCTGGACTACATCTGGTACACTAAAGACACACTGAGAGTGGACGCTGTTCTGGACATGCCGGACGAGGAGCAAATCGGACCCAACAGGCTTCCGTCCTCCAGCTATCCGTCCGACCACCTCTCTCTCGTGTGCGACTTCAGCTTCAGGGAGAAGGAATGAGAGGCTGGCTCGTCGACGGGAAATGTTGGTTCCAGGGACTGAGGGGTTCTCCCTCGCTGCTTCACTCCACAGGAAGCCTGGAAGCCGAATGTGAGTGAACGGGTGAAGATGAGAAGACAGGACGTTGAGCGTGAAGTGACTGAAATGTTGCTGTGTTGAGGTTGAAGAGATAAATGCATCACAAGTCTTCCTACAGGAACTAAGTCTGCACCAGCTGATCGTCTCATACCTTCATCAGCAATCAAGCTGCTCATACATGAACTTCGTTTTATTTTTTTTACAAAATACTGAAATCAGAGTGTAATAGGAATACTGCTTGGTACTACCATCATATAGCACTGGAAGTAAATAAAGTGTTTTTGCCAGATAATGTGTAGTTTTCGTGGTTTTTTCTTTTAAGCATTTTAGTTTTACAACTTTGAAAAGCTTGGCGTCTGTATACATTTTAATATTCCTAACACACCTCTGCTATTCACCAGACCTGACTAGTCACTGAATCTGCCATGAAAACACACTAACAATTGGTGTCAATGTATCTATTGTATCTGTATAAAAGTTATGGCTGAAGGACAAACTATTCCCCAAAAACTCTGGTCGTTTAACCGCCTGCCAAAACAAAGGAAGACTGAACAGAGCCTGAGCAACGCTGCCTCCCAGCACTAATCTATCTTAAATGGTGTTAACTGTCTGCTGGGACTTTGATTTTTTATACTGCGTTTTATGAAATTATGGCTGCACCAATTTTTAATTTGAGTTCGGCGCTGTGAAAGAGCCGGGTTGACCTAACCGTTCACTTTCTCTTTATCGATAGCGGAACAAAAGTCTTTGCTGTGAAGCAGAACAGAGTTGTGATGCTGTTTTTGTTACATTAAGTTTCCTGTTTTTTTGGGTCATGTTGAATTTGAAAATGTTTAACTTTTCATTTGCATGTCCGAGTAACTGTAAGGATCCACCATCAAGGGGAATTCCTGCTGTGCAAGTCACTAGCATGCAAAAAAAGTGATGACAGTTTTCTGAGTTTTGTTACCAAAATAACTGCAATTTTGCAGAAACTTGTTTCCCACGCAGTGTGACGACGCCCCCAATTTGTAATATAAATGATTGCAGGATGATGAGCACTAATCCAATTCAGGTAGTGAGAGCTGATCATTCAAAATCGAAATAGTTAAGATCGTTATCGGCAAGTTAGAGTCACCCTAACCTGATAGTTGCATCAGGTTGATTGTGGTTAAGAGGTCAGAAAATTTGAATGATTTTTTTCTTGGTTTCTTTTGTTAGTTTAGTTTGAGTAAACAGAATGATAAAACGTGCAAAGAAAGTCCCCAATGTTGCCTCTGATAAGTCTATAAAGTTATGTTTGCTCACGCTGCTTTTATCTCAACAACAAATGAATTTGGCAAGGTTAAGGAACCAAAAATGTACGACCTCAGAAACTTCCACTTGAGCAATAAAAAACCCCCCACAGGTATCAAGTATTTGTATTTCAGTAAAATCTACTTTAATACACTTTGAAACAAGAGTACAACAAAATAGAATATGCTTCAAATGTTGAATATACAAACAGTTCAGTCTGAACACAGACGATCTTCCCTCTTTTCAGAAAAACGAAACTATTGAAATGCTGCGGCAGAACCAACACGGCAGACTGACACATTGACCCTCGGTTTTGATTGTGATCAGGGGGATCCACAGTGGTCACAGCTGTATATGCCCTGCAGCCGTTTTGCATAATTTGGTGCCTTTTCTGATTATTGAAATAACAAACGCTGACTTTTTGCGTAAAGATGTGGCAGCATGCATTGGCTCAGATTCATCTTACTTTATTGCATATGCATGCAGCCTGCCTGCAGAACATTCTGCACTAACAAGTAACACATTTAAAAACTCGCAAATCCATTTTCTACTTTTAGGTTTGGGGGGAGTTTTTGAGGGATGCTGAAGGACACAGCACTGCGGACGAGTGTCAACCCACACCAGCATCAGCAGCCGAACCGAGGCAGAGGGGAAAAAGAAAACAAAAAATCCCAACAGTTCAGAGTTTCAATAACACTGTGCATGGTAAAAGGTATCAAAAGAAAAACAAAAAAAAACAGCTTACTGTTCAGGAAAAGAAACATTTCAAAAATTAAAACCTAAGGCTGTCTGTTACCGTTAGCTCAGTAAACTGTAAAGATATATATATAGTTATATAAATATATACAAACATGACTGATATCGTTCCTAATGAGAGCCCAAATCTCCTTCCTGTCATGCTTTCTTCACACAGTGATGCAAGTTTAAAAACAAGAAAATGCTGGTTTTTAACATCTGTAGAAATGAACACTCTTAAAAAGAACCTTCTTCACTCTCCGCTGTTTCTTTTTCTATTTACATTTTTGGTTGCCATCCTTGTTATTTACTTTTTTTTGTTGTTTTCTTTAGTGTTGCAGTTTCATGTTCATCCTCCAATGGGACTCAGTGCATGTGATCCGTTGTGTAGTGATCAAAGTTGGTCCAGTTGCTTTTTCCTTACTGCCCCTCTCAGTTTGGGTCCAAGCCTCCATACGCAGCTAAAGAGGCTCCACTGCCGTTCAGAGGGAGACCGAGCGGCTCTTTGTCCGGGTGGAGATGTGAAGACACGTTCCGGACTCAGAGACAAAGAGACGTCCTTCAAGAGTCTGCTGCAGGTTATTACAAGTTATAATAAAAAGAACTTCAGAAATGTACAAACTAACTTCTCAGGCGGTGAGAAAGGAAAGAACAGATGTTAGTGACTCAACACTCCGGCTCCTCTGTCTTAATTGCACGTGGAGCTTCCAGTTTCATAACCGCCTCAGTGTCTGTGGCTTCTGATTTGATGTGCTGGACGGTCTTTGGGTTCTGGACCGTCAGGGGAACCTGCACCGTCTGGACCTGCACTCCTGCAGCCTTCAGCTTCTCCACCGTAACCCCGCCCGGCCCGCCAATCACCAAATCCGAACCGTTGATGACGCCGCTGATGACGCGCGGCTGCGTCGCCACGGTCTGACCGACCGCTTGGCCACAGCCGACGCTTCCTGCCGGCGACACCATCAGAGTCTGTGGCTGCGTCTGCGTCGGCACGGTGAGCCTCATCACCTGCGCCCCCGGGGCGACGCTGACGGGGGCGAGGGCTCGGACCGTCAGGGGGCTTCCCAAGAGGCTGATGCCTGTAGACGAGGCGGCCATGTTGGGCTTGTTGGCCCCCGTGGAGGCCTGGAGCTGACACTGGGTTAACTGGTGGGCTGGGATGGTGATGATCTTGGCCAGTTGGACGGTGATCTTGTCTCCGTTCTCCGCTGTGGCTGGAACCATTGTTGGAATAGTCTGGATCACAACCTTCACGACAAATAACATTTTAGTCAAAAAGATCAAAATAACACAAAAACGTACAACACCAGTCAGATGCATTTACAACCCTTCTACACATAACCAAATTACAACGACAAACTTAATGACTGTTTAGGATTTTAGATGATTTTCATTTGTAAAACATTTTAAATCCACTTTTTCAATTTTTAATGATATTATTTTGTGCTGATATAGCCAGTAAAATACACAGTCTATGGCTGGGATGCAAGCTATGCATTAATGAGTTCATATAAAGCTGATTGATCTTAATCAACTAAAGATTAAATGATAAGGATTTTCTAATAAACCATTAAATCAACAATCATAAGTCAATTCATTTTTTGTATTCGTCGTCTGTGGTTGTAAATTTACAACATGCTAATGTCCGAGTGGTGTCAATATAAGAGAAGGGCTCAGTTTCTAAGATTTCTTTAATCAAACTAAAATCAGACTTTATTTGCACGTTTTGCAATATAATTCCTTATAAAAATATTAAACCCACAGCTGGCAGAAACAGAGTCAGTGGATGAAATATTTTCAGTCTGCTGTATGGATGCTTTCTCAGGGGAAACCATTTGTCTGTGAGGAAACGTCCGCATCACTCACCTTCTGTTGTGAATTAGGATTAGCAGCAGCAGCACTGATTGGAGACGCGTTAGTGAGCAGGGTGGTGGTGGGCCCCGGGGCCACCGTCGTCCCTGCCGGCTGCTGCATGGCGACGGTGGAGAGCTTCTGGCCCAAAGACGTCATTACAACCGGAACCTGCATCGCCACTCGAACCGTCCTGTTGACGAGTCAGAAAAACACTCAGCATGGGGGGGAAACATGTCAAAAATATTTGCAGTAGCTGTGTCATCATAGAGGAAGCGACGGTCCCCCAGCAGGACTCTGACCTCGGCGCTGAGGCGTTCGGGATCTGGCTCACGTTCTGGCTCACGTCGGCCGCTGCTGAAACCGTCACTATCCTGGGCGCCGCCGCCGCCATCACCGCTGGTCCGCTCACTGTGGCGGCAGGATTTTGGACCACGATGGGTCTGTTGGAGCCCCGCAGGATGTTGGGTCTCCTGGGAGACGACAGCTCTGCGTTTTGCAGTAACCTTTCTGAAGGCGGAGGCACGCGGTCGTAGGACGCCTGCGACTCTGAACTCATGAGGTCATCGGGAGAAGACATTTCCGCCTTGTCCTCGTCGATAATGACGATGTTTTTGGGCATCTCTTTGAACTGGTAAACGAGCCGCTGACCCTCCACCTTGGCCAGGATTCCTCGTTGGTAGTAATATCTGACATAAGAGGAATGATGAAGATTTAAAATGTTATTTTAAAATAAAATATAACAAATTCTGAGCTTAAACCTTAAATCTGTCACACTGGTTACCTGAGCGCCCGTCCCATAGTCTCGTAGTTCATGTCTGGCTTGTTCTTGTGTTTACCCCAAAGCTTGGAAACGGCCTTGGAGTCGACTAGCTTAAAGATGCCTTTCTCCCTCTGGGTCCACTTGATGTATCTGGGACAGGTGTTCTTGTCCTGGAGGAGGTCCAACAGGAACTCCCATAGATAAGTGGTGCTACCTGCTGAAAGTCAAAGTGATGTTAGCTCACTAAATATGCTCATCGACAGGGTTGTGAAATAGTATTTGCCCCATCCAAGATTCTCTCTCTTTCCTTTTCAGTCGCACTGAAATGTGTCAAATCTTAAAACACATTTTTAGAATAAGGCAAAAAACCTGATTTGGTTTCATTAGAAAGTAGTGAGGCCCAAAAGGAGCAAAGCCTCGATTCACTGTTTATTCTACTTTATGTTTGTCTGGTCTGTATCATTTCAGTCTGACATAAAAGCAACAGAAGGAACCTGTAAGGGGAATGTGTTGGCTGGAGAAGGAGTTATTCAAACAAAGAAATACCTTTGCCCTCTCTTGGTTTCTTCTTGAAGCTTAGATCTGGTGCGCCGTTTGAAATGGACGAATGGGGCGCCTTCGTTTTCCGTCCAGCTGCAAAGGAAACATTTTGAAGAGGTCACCTTCATGCGTAACAGTAGCAGTGCAACTATGAAAAAGTGAGTGAAGTCCTAAATCCCTTTAGCTGCTCTTATTTCAATACACACTAATCAAACAGGAAGCGTGTCCCAAATTTTAATCAGGAAAAACAATCACAGGAACATTAGGTTGTTTGAAAAAACAGCAGTTATTGTTTTTGTCAAAATTTTCTATATAAACTGATGAATTATTAAAGGTTTAGCTTCCTGTGAATCAAACTAATACGCAGCTGTGTAATCACTGTTTTTAAGAACAGCTTCACTTGCATTGAGTGGACCAGTTTCTGCCATCTGGTCCATCTTGAGTCCAGAACGATTTGACTTTTTTCTTGGTTTTGCCACAGAAACAGGACGATTGACGTCACCCCACGTCATTCCTATTAGATCATGGTCCAGGGATTGGGCTTCATGGCTCTAGTTGACCACTAGATGGTGCGCTTACATCATAGAACTGGAGCTCATAACCCATATCTTCAGATTTTAGCACAAACACCAAAATCTAATAGTATTTATCGCTCAAATAGTGTAACATGAAACAAAAGAAAAAAGAAAAGAAAAGGAGGAAACAGGCGCCGGGTTTGTGCACCTCGTTTCTTTCTGACAGGCTCGTTGTCGGGTTCTGGCTCTTCTAGTGACGTGACCATCTCCTCCTCTTCGTCCTCCTCCTCATCCTCCTCGCAGCAGTCCTCAGTGGTAATCTCCACCTCCGTTTCTCCAATCACATCAGGCCGCATGGCGGCATGGAGGAAGTCTGGTGCAGCTTCACTTTGTGGCGTAAAAGCTTCTAAAAGAAGAAATCGAAAAGTTTTAAAGGAAAACCGATAAAAGCATTTCACTAGGATTTCTTGAACAGTCCAGTGTATCTAGCATTCTAAGCAACATGTACAACAAAGCGCTGAGCTATTTCTGTACTAGTTACAGCAAAAACGACAAATCCCAGACTCCAGCTACCTGGGCTGCGGTCTTCTCTGAGGCTGGACGGTGAGTCCATGTGTAGCAGCGCTTCTGCCGCCTCGATGGTTTTGTCAGAGCAGTGGACGTTGCTGTAACCAGAGGCCTCCACTGCAACATAAACACAGAATTAGTTAATGAAAAATCTTGAAGCACTCCCAGCAGGCCCCCATTTTCAACTGTTTCCAGACTCAAATGAATTCAGGTCTGGTGTTTAACTAGACCCATCATGGGGTTTTCTTCCAGCCTGATGCAGGTATGAATAAAATACCTAAATATCCAGCATAAGAAGATCCCCACATCATCCTACTGCCACTACCTTTAATCGTGAGGATGATGTACGCAAAGTGATACACAGTATTTATTTCTTCACATGTTATTCAAGATGTTAGAAAAGGAGTTCAGTTTCTCATCAAACCAGAGCTCCTTCTTCCATACAGCAACAACGTTTTAGAGCTTTATTTTTGCCACTCTTCTGTAATGGTCAGCATTCAGGAGAGGATGAATAAAGGTTGTTGTATTTACAGATTTTCCCCTGATAGGGGAAAATTTGCAACCCAGAGTTACCTATAATCTCTGGGTTGCTGCTTTGGTTAATACCTCCTTTGTCTCACCCAAATGATAGACTGAGCAGAGCCCTCAAGGAGCACAGTCTCTAAAGTTTTGCATTGTTTTTATTAACTACAAACATACTGTAATCCGATTCAATGCACTTCACCACTATGGCAAAACTTTGCGTTGGTCTAGCATAAAAAAAAAATCTTTATAAAACCAGTTGAAATCAGTGGCAGTAATGCAACAAATCTTTAAAAACCAGTTTTGCTTTTGCAAGTTCAGCCCAACACTCACGAATAAAACTGTGTCACCCACTTCCAGTTCGCACTTCAGTGTAAAGCATGCAGAAATATTTATTAGCAAAGGAAAAACAAAGTTTAATCTGGGGCTTTGTTGAAGGAAGTTTGGCCTCCACCGGGACCATGAGAGGGACCCCGGGGGCACCTGCTGTTGTTGTCAATCACCGGTGGGAAACCTGAGATAAGCATTACACCCTGTCCATGTTTGGCTATCGAGCAGAGCAGGGGACAGCAACAGGCTATCTTTAGACAGCTGCACTCGTTCAGTCCGTCTCTCTACCAAAGACAATGGGTTGGGAGAATCCGCTGTCGAGCTAAAACACTACCCCGAAAGTTTCTTCTTCTTCTTTTCCTCCACATCATTAAATCCTCCGGTGTTATTAAAACGGCATTACGTAAAAATATGTTTATAATGCAAGGTATGAGCGCAAAACCGGAGTGGCTCCCAGTAATAATCATCTCCCTGGAAGTCCGACAAAAAGTAGTTCTGCCTCTGACGACTTCCGTGTTTACACTCCTCGTTATTTCCCTCCAGTTCTCTTCGAAGAGGCTCACAAATCCCCCCGTCACTCAACGCCCGCCGCGGCCTCCCATTGGATCGAGCTACAGCTAAGAACCCGCCCCAGCTGAAACCTGATTGGACGTTTGTAGGGGAAGAAAGCGAGCACAGCCAGGCCGTCCCACGCGTCCAACAAGGAGGCTGGAAAAAAAATAAAAACACGATAAACGGCGATTGGAGGATCATAATATATGAACTTAAAAATCTGGGGAATTACTGGTGGAAAGTCGGCTGAAGTCGGAGCAAAAAATGATGGAAATTTGCTAAATAAATTTTAAAAGTACAGGGCCTACTTTTTAAAGGAGTGTTGCTCTATTTAGGATTGTTAGGATTCACCTTAAAAATAAACATACACGTGAGCTTCACAGAAAAAGAGAAAAAACCCCAACAAATGTAATAAATTATATAACATATTTATATCTAGTAGTTGCAGAGTAAAAATAAACCCACATGTCCTTCCGCCTCAGACAGCGTGGCAAAGACAACAACTACACACTTCCTGGTTGTGCAGCGCCGAACCGTTATTCACATTCATCGAGCTCCGACAAAAACCAACCAAAACATGCAAAACACGCTTCGTGCACACTGCCATCCGAGGGCGCACACCGACACATCCAGCTGCAAGCTCCGCTATATTTTTTTAAAGCGGGTTTTGATAGCCGCCGAGAAACGCCATGCAGGTTGCGACCAAGGTGATCACTTCCTGATCACTTCGCCGCGGCCGGCGGGCCGAGGCGCCGCGCTTCGAGTCTCAAAAACAAAAGCCGCCCGTCACCCGCGGCTCTAAAGTCGGAGTTTTCAATGCGTGGAAACACCTTACCGGCTCTGATGAGCAGATCGAGCTGGTTTGCGTGCCCCTCATGCTGTGAAGTCGCCATGTTTCCACCTCTCGCTGCAGATTCTCATTGACTTCTCACTGTTTGGATCACTCCGCGGCTGAATCTCAACGACACGCACCACGCCAGAATATACAAATCCCTCCGCGAGCGACACAGGAAGTCCTCCTTTCGCCCTCCCTCTGCTGCGTAAGCTCATACGTCAAATATAGCTGCTGTTTTGGTTTTTTTCCACCATGCAACTTTATTTAATTTCAGCATCTAAGGCAGAACTATAATTTGTTACGTATAAAATAGTAAATTTGAAATTTCCTAATGAAGTTAAAATTGAAGAAATAACGAAAGGTGTTGAAATGCAGATTTTACTGACAGAAGGATCTGAAACAACAAGCACAACCAGAAAGCGGATGAATTGCTTATGATCTAATTATAAATCTGGAGATTCACTAGCCAAGCTTTTATTAGCCAATTCCCAGTGCATTTTTGTACAGTTAATTTTTATTCTTATTTCAATGCTATTGATATATTACCAAAGAGAATAAATGTGCTAAGTTCAGTGACAATGGCAAGAATATGAAGTCAAACAGAATATGAAAGAATTGCTGTTTTTCTTTCTTTTTTATGCATTAAATCTAACTATTATCCAAAAAGTGCACAGCTAACATTTTAGCAGAGTAAATATGAGATTGGTTAATGCATTTTTGGGCATAAAAGTATGAAAGTTTTTAGTTTTGATAAATTTACAGAGGAGCTAAAGAAAAAAAATGGACAAAATCAGTGTTTGTCCCGACAAGCAGGGAAAAACTGCTTCCGGCTGATTGATCGGAGAAGCTCTCCACAAATCAGTGTAACTTTATTTATAAAACCGTAGAAAATGTCCCCAAGGCAGGAAGAGACATACCTACGTTCAATGGAAAACATTCTCCTGCCCAAAAAATGTATACTGAATAAGTGCCAAATGGTAAAAATCACAAACTTATCAAATGATCTGCTCACATTAACACTACAAAAATAAACCCCCAAAATTCATTGTTAATATGGCTCAATTTTAAGTTATCGGTTTTCTAATTTAACCAAAACAAAAATACCTAGAGGACCATGACATGTTTAAGTTTCATGGAGCGACAGTTTAATTTTTGGTGAGCAGCAAACTGCTTTAGCAAGTAAATATTTTTTTTCATCTAAATTTCAGTTACTAAATAGGCAAAAGCAATTGTCGGCAATAATTTTTTATTCTGCTAACATATGCCCAGAAGAAAGAGCAAAACTGACTGACGTCAGTTAGTTTCTCAATGCATTCAGAACAATTAGCTATTGATCTATTAATTAACATCAGGTTGGTAAATCTGTTCTTGTTTATGCATCAACTATTTAAATTCTATCCGCAATGTGGGGACCTACGAACACCAAGGCCTGTCAGCTTTTACAGCCTGGTTTTTCTGGATCATCTCTTCTGTTGCATTTAGCAAACAAAACAAAAAAAAGAGACTAAAATTAAAGTTTAAGATGACCCTTTCACTCTGTACCATGGATAATATGTGCATATTACTATTACAACCTCAGTGGATTTGATTGGGATTCTATGATAGACCAACACAAAGAAGTCCGTAATTGGAAATGACATGTGCTTTCTATATGTTTTAAAAGTAAAAATATAAAAACTGTGATTCAGACGCATATATTCCAATAATCATAAATTGGATTTATCAGAGAAGCAGCCAAAGACAGCCAATGATGGCTGGAGGAGCTAAAGAGATCTCCCCATGGTGACACCTGGTGGTAGCAGCAACAAACTGTTGGGATCTCCTTCTTCAATAGGGAGAGAGAAAACTGGTCAGAGGTGATGGGAAGATGAATGGATAGAGATGAAAACAGGGCAATCCTGGAAGGAAACCTGCAAACAACTTCAGCCTGGGCCGGAGGCTCAACCTCTCGTGGGGCATTGACCCTCAACATAGAGCCAGAGCTAAATCAAAGCTTATTCATGTGTTTGATCGCCCACTCAGACAAGGTCTGGTGTAAATCCAATCACGAATTTTCAGCAACCCTTCACCGATACCCCAACCATCCAGTCTCACTGAGCTTGAAGTGGTTAGCTCAGAAGAAGCTATAACATTTTCCATCAGTAGACGTGCCAGCTGTAGTTGAAGCAGGGAGATCTGCCAGGTTTATATACAAACTATTGATTTTTATTCATAAAAAAACTTTTAATTCATGTCCCGGTTTCCTTCAACTCCACAATGATCAATTTCTTTTGTGTCGGTCTGTCTCATAAAATCGCAATGAAGCGCACTGAAGTTTGTGCAAGATGAAAATTTCTTGCTTTAAAATCGATCCAATTGGCTCAGATTTGGCAAAACTAAACGCTCCTTAAAAATGTTAACATCCCACCTCCTTCTCCTTGCGTCTCCACCTCTTGCATGACGTAGGCTTCCTCTCCATACACCACCACCTGGGCGGAGTAACCCTGCTCATCCAGCCGGCCAGCAGTGGGCACCTCCTCCACTATGACTGCGAGATCCTCATCATCCTCCTCTCCGTCCTCCAGCTCCTCACAGACCTCCTCTGCTTCACACTCATCCTCCACCTCTCCTTCCAGCTCCGCATCAGCCTCATATACTCCCTCCTGCTGAGGAAAATGGATATAAAAAAATGAAACCAGGCGTTTACAATATAGAACTAATATTAGATAGGAATCGACTCTTATCCAACAACCACCTGCTGAGGATCTTCTTCAGCTGTGACATACTCCACCATCGTCCCGCCAGCGTCAACCAGCACCACTGACGTCATGATTCATTCTCCCCTGGGGTGAGGAGACACAGCCCCTCCTGCTGGTGACCTCGGCTAATGTCGGGAACAGCAGCCACTGGAAAAACAAGTAAACTAGATTGATACATATTAAATGAACTGGGCAGAAATAACAGACTTCCCTCCCATTGAGATTGATCACTACTTAGCACAGTTAAAATCTCCCTGTGTCTTTCTAAATGTGGGCTTAAAAGCAGAGATCTGATCTCCATCTCTCCCTGAGTGTTCTCAGCCTGTCTGCTGTTACAGGAAGAGAAGCGCCGAGGGAAAGCCAAGTCATTACATCAAACACAAGAACGGTGTCCAGACAGGACGATGGTAACAGTTGCTAGGAACCAGCTTTCGGCGCCTGTTCAGTGCAGCAGCAACCTTTAATTTGACAAGTGTCTGACACCTTTAATACTCCTCATCTAAACTTCCTCTGCCCAATTGTTAAGCACAGGAAGAGGTTATTCGTATTACTGGAATACAAGGTGTGTACAAAACCCTTGAAATCAAAGGACTATTATGATGACGAAGACCCTGACAAATTACTTAATTTGTAATGATCTAAGGTCTTTTGTAAATTAATTAAAAAATTAATTAATTAAGATTCATTCAAAGATTAATTTACAAAACAATGGTTTGGTGACTAAAAAATGTACAGAAGCCAAGTGTTCCTTTTATTTCTGAAACCAAAGAAGAGCGCAAACACAGCAGGATACGTTTTGCCTCTTCACAGCTGAATTTTTTTTTGGTAAAATAAAATACCTGGGTTAAAATAGAAACAAAACTGTGATTACAAAAAGACCTGCAGGGTGAAAAATTAATGCAGAGTCCAGAGAATGTACATTTTTTCCCGACAAACTCACTGCACCAGCTGGACCATACAGATTCCTGGAACACGCTCAGTTACACTAACCACTGTATAATGGATGAGCCATGCTGAGCCCCTGAGACCAACATGATATTAGCTCAATTATTCAGCATCATAAAGAACCAATGATGGACTCTGATGTTACAGTTTCAACCTGATGTTGAGATAAAAAAGATACATAACCACTAGTTTCTATTTGTCTGACATGAAATAAACATTTCCTGATTGGAGTCATTATTCCTGTTTACTAAATCTTAGAACTGGTGGCACACCTGGGTTGTAGCATAAGGCACTGCCTCATTCACACAGCTTTGTTTTGTGAAGTTATGGGGGAAAAAAAACAGATCAGTCAAGATTTCAGGAAGACAAATAAACATTCACAGGTCTGGTTCATCCTTGGATATAATTTTCGGATGTCTACGGTGCCATATTAGTCTTTTTAAACAATGTATAGGAAGCATTTGAATTGGAGCATCAATCACAGAAGAAAGGAGGAAAAAAGAAACTTTAAAAAGATGCTGGCTAAAGTAGTGCGCTGTTACTCACAATGAAACAAGTCCTGTACTAACAAGTGGATGAGTGTGAACAAATACATCTTCTAAATGGACAATGACTCTAAGGATACAGTCAAATTAGTCACAAAGTGGCACATAATCTGTTGGTAGTTTTGAAAAAAGATGGCCAACAACTTTAGCTCATTTAAGCCAAAATTCCAGAAAACTATTGTGAGACGCTGGCAGAAAGAAACCCAAAACATCTGACCAATATTGGGAATCCTAAATGTCCTAACAAAGCCAGAGTTTAGCACATATTTATTGCCAGACAAGAAGATAATGTGTATTTATATAATGTGTATGCAAAGTTCTGGCTATAAATGCATATACAATTTTAGAAAGACTAGTGTGCGACTCATATTTTCAACATGTTCATCAATCACGTGTCCACAAGTCTAGTGTCCCAAAAATTACATTTATTTATTAAGCTCTTTACTCTGAGTCGACGGAAGCTCTGCACCTGCACTGTAAAGTGGCTCTTTCAACCATGAAACAAGTTCCACGGACAGTTTGAGATTGTGAAATGTTGCTCTGTGCAGCAAGAAGTCAATAAGAAACAGATACAGAGTTAAAGGGTGTGTCAGCGGGCAGAGTCCTGTTGAGGGGTCAAATCTAACAACTGCAAGACAGATGGACAAATGTACAGATGGAAAATGAATAGCTGACATCAAAATGTGTGTAAAAGCAAAAACAAACCCAACAGTTAGCTGCAGGGCCCCTCAAGCAGGTTGCATTCAATCAAACAGGCAATACAGGACCTGCAAGACAACTGAAGACACGAGGCTGTCTAACCGCTGCTCATCTAATAGTAGTTTTAAAGCGTTTCTTTCAGCAGAGGATAATTACAGGAATGAATAACCGTGGCCTATTAAGTTTGAGTCATGTGGGTATTTCAGAAATTTCAAATGGTATTTTGGAGCACAGTGGAAAACAGCTACATGTGTCAGTGGCCATTTCACAGAGTCCTACCAGAGAGAGAAGTGTTTCGAAGCACAGCATTGTTCTAAATGTTCTTGGTTGATGTTGTGCTGAAAACGCAAAGTTTCCCAAATCGAAATCCCAATGAAAGCATCAAAACGGATAACAGAACAAGCCCAAACTTGCCTCGTCACTGACATGTGGATTCGAAATAAAGCACTGCATCTTCACTTTTCTCCCATTCGAAGTCCAAAAACAGGCTAAGAGACTCGATACCCGACGGTTCCCCTCTGAGCCTAAAGAACCCCCCTGCACGTTTCTGTCCTCTCCATCCGACACCCGTCCATCCAGCTGTGTGGACGGCCGTCTCCGCTCCCTGCCCGCATGCCTGCCTGCTCCCTCAGTGGAAGGATCTTCTCAGAATTGACTCAGCACTTCTCATAGCCTGCCTGGAGCTTGCATCACATGATGAGGGAGGAACACATACCCACACACACACACACACACATGCACACAGTCACATGATCTATCAACAACTGAGCTTTTGTTCCAAATAACTGGGGCTGCTGGTCTAGATACAACGCCCTGCCTTGTGTCCTGTCCTGCCCTCCCTACACACACACACATACACACACACACACACACACACACACACACAGTTGATACAATGAACAAATGCACAGCAAATATGACCTCAGGATTTACTTAACGCCCAGCCCATATTTAAACACACACAAGCAAAGTCCACTGAGTTATTAGCATGGGTGACGTGGCGATGAAGCTTCTGAGGCTTCTACATCTATTAGAGCTGGTTACAGATTTGTATTAAAGAAACCCTGATCATATTAGTTGCCATCCTGCCTAGGACACCTCTGAGCATTTTATCATATTACCTCAACAAACATCAGTCTTTCAGGGGGGAGGCTCAGTGTAGCAGATACATTGTAATTTGGAACAAAAATGATACATGTTTCTTCCCTCCTGAGTCAATACTTTGTAGAGCCAACTTTTTGCTCCAGTTACAGTCTTTAGCTCTCTACCAGCTTTGCAAACCTACAGACTGGATTTGCTGCTAATTCTTCTTAGCATAATAGCTCTATTTCAGTAAGATTGCATATGGAGTATCTGTAGAAAAATTTCTAAACGTTATTCAGATTTGAACTTTGACTGGACCACCCTGGCACTTGAAATGCATTGATATAAACTCTGGATATAAACAGAGCTGACAGTTTAGGGTCAACGTCCCGCTGGGTGGTGAACCTCTGCCTCCAATGGGTTTTCTTTTAGGATTGCTCTGTATTTAGATCAACCTATCCTCTGATAAACTCTTATCGGCTTCTTTGTTCCTGTTGAAGAAAAAAAAAATAAAATCCCCACCGCATGATACTGCCACCACCATGTCGCACCACACAGATGGTGTTTTCAGGACGGTGTGGAAGTGTTAGTTTCTAACTGTGGGCCATAAAGTTCAACTTTAGGTGTAATGAGACAGTGAATGTTTTTCCACACGTTTGCTGTGTAAGCAACATTTCTTCAGATTTGTGAAGTGCAAGAACAATAGTTCTCATTCAGATAATGACCATAATACACCGTTTCCCCGATACACTTCATCCTTTCTCTCTCTTTGAGTTCAGTCTCAGCTTCTACTGTTTAACTGTTTATTCTTAAAGCGCTTCATGAAAGTTATGACCTACCATAACCTTTCTCACAAAGCTTTATCTGCCTGCTCGGACTTTGGATGAGCTAAAGGCTGGACAGTCAAAACATTAACACACACACATTTCACTACGGGGCTCACCAGGTCTCAGCATACTCTCCACACAATCACAATCTTTTTAGTCTCTATGTAAAACCTGTAGCCCATGGATGAGTAATAAAATGTTGTATATGTCCTGGAATTTAAAAATATATAAACACAAACGAATAATTTTTCAAAACAGAAAATCCAAAACCATCCATATTTTAGTATATGTTGTTTTTAAATGACATAGTATATTGATTATTATAACTACAATATTTTACTAGAAAAACTTAAGCAAAAATACAGAATATATATGTAGCTAAATTTTACCGTACTTTGGGTAAATGTGTTCATTGCAGATATTATTAGACATATGTTTAACCTTCTGGTCTTAACAAAGTACCGATATCATGCATGATATGCTGATTGTAGCTTGCAGTCTGTTGCTTTATGTGGCGCTCTTAATGTACGTCCATTTTCCATGATTACATTCAAACATGAGCAAAAGATTTAAAAAATGAGTAATACAAATAATTAAAAGTGATTAAGGCAATGCTTAAAAGGATCTGAATGGAACAGCCACCTAGTTGTTGTTCAGCTAGCTGATCGGCAGTGTGCAGCAGGAGACATGACTCAATGTTCCCTATAGCTGGAAAAAACTTTGCTCATTCCAGCACTTCATCTGACACTTCATTTAAAAAAAAATACACAAGAATGGAAAGTTCACCTGTTTTCAAACTGCAACTTTTTAAAACCTTGACACCTGTAACCTACCTCCTGTTTCTACACCTTATTCCAGGCTCATGCTATGAGTTGTTGTTAAGCATACCATTATAGTTACTGAAACAAATTAAAATTCCTTGTGGAGACACATCTGACTCATACAGTAAAGATCCAAGCAGCTTTGGATTACATACCTCTATAATTCATAGCCCAGTATGCCTTTAGCAGGTGGATTTCAGTGTTAACGCTTTCAGTTAAGGTCACTACTAGAAAAGATTGCTACTTAATACCAAATAACCTGCTCAACTTATGAATTTTAAGAAATCCATGACTGTCAAGAGCTAACAGGCTAGCTCCGATAGCCTCCAGGTAAAACAAGCTGGAGCCACAATAACAGACCGAGCTGCTAGCGCTGGCTAATGTCGGGTTAAACTCCTCTTATCGGCTTCCTGCTGGCTGCCAGGCAGCTGCTGCTTATTGTTGTTGTTAGCATGGTTGCTAACCAGAGTTTACAGTGTGAGTGTGAACACTACCGTCTTTCTCCGTCTCCCTCCCCCGCCCCACCGCGTGTCCGCTGCTGCTGGCGCCGACTGTCAGCCTCCAGAGTCCCGCCGCTCAGCGACTAGTTAACGGTAACAGTAGTTCCAGCGCCCCCGGTGAACCACGGCTGGTCGGATGGACGAGTGGACAGTCGCTGGTTCGGTTCTCCAGAGTTAAAGGAGATTAGCTCGGCTCGGTTGTTTTTCTTCTCCGGTCCGGGAGACTACTGACGTCAGATTATAAAACGTCAGAGTTTAACAGTGAGAGTCATTTCATTCATTTAAAAAACAAAAAAAACTTTACTGTCAGTGAGTGTCTTTAAAAAAAAACTTTATTAAACTTTTTTTTAATCAATTTTCTTCTATTTTGAGTGCCACGATTATATTCAAATACTTTAATGTTTGAATTAATAATTCCAGATTCCAACATTTTTCATTTGACCAAATACAGTTTTGATTAGAAACGTTTGATTTTTAAAAATGAAACTTTTCACATAGATTTAAATAATCATGACATCCCAAAAGTTTACTTTTTTTTGCTTAAATTTTCGATGCACTTTTACTCTGTTTCTCAATTTTGAATAGTTATATTTTTAACAATAAAATGTTGAATTATTTTGTTTACATTTTTATTCACTATCTCTTGTTTACAAATACACACCCAGTTCACATAGGATGTCATAAAGTGAAGTCAGCCAAGACACACCTGTGGATCTCTGAGGGTGACACCTTTGTTCAGGTCTTCAAACAGTCACAAGTATGAACAGCAAATGAATGATGAAAAAGAAAAAGCAGGATTGTCCACCACTTTATTTGAAATATGAGTATGCCATGACGACACCGCTACAGTTTGCTTGTCAACTACATTCTTCATTATGTCCCAGTCATGCAGAGCTCAAATGATATATAAACATCCCATCTACAATCATTCATTATTTTTCTTAATGTCTTCCTTTATCTGATGTGCAATGCTTGTCTCAAAATGTTGTCCCAGTCTGGACAGTATATATATATTTTTTCTTTTAGATAGTCTTTAGTCATACTACAAAATGACAGACAAAGAGAAGGTATAGATGGTTATTATCCTTGTTATTAAGTTTTAACAGCTCTGTTAAACTTGGAGGATACACGGGATACATCGCTATATCTGACTGATGAACAGGGCGGCATCTGGAAATGATCAATGCAATTTTAAAAAAAGAAGTGTGCATCAAAATATGGGCATTTTCTTGTAACATTAAAGTTTTATATATCTAACAGCGCGTGACTTTCTAATTTTAACGCTTTAAAATGAAATACTGCAAAATACGTGGGTGTATGGGCAGCAGTGACACAAATCTGAAATATTTTATGCCAGGTGTTATAATAAGGCTACTCTGTTCATTACAAGGTCAAAAACCTTCACTCCCTAAAACCTCTTAGAATTCCACGTCTCAAAAAGTTTTGCATTACTGACACCTAGTGGACAAAATCTATAATGACACCTGCTAACAAAGACAACGCTTCAGCGTGTGACCTCCTCTTCTTCTGGTTGTTGTCTTCTGCCGCCCAGGTTTGATTGGGGAAGGCAAACTTTCTGTCACGACACGGCTGTCACCACAACTCCATTCTCAATGCCTAAAACAAGCAAACGCAAAAAAGAAGAAGTGAGATGGAAGCACAACTCTTTCACGCGTTGTTTTTCACCAGGAAAAAGGCAGCGAGGTTAAGCAGTTTAGTGTCCTGAAAAAGCAGGAAAAAAGTTTGTCACTCATTTCAGAAAGTCAAACTACATTCATTAGGCTATACATGGAGTAAAATACGTATTCATGTATTTTATTGTAGTTCTGATTAAGGCTTACTTTATGTTGATGCGCAGGAACAGGAGCCATAAAATAATTAAATACACATTAAATTAATTATTTGTGTCGGCTATCATTAGTTTGTATTTTAATCACTTTAAGAGATATTTAATAAATTGTTTATTAAATTGACTATTTAAACATTTAGTTAAGAATTTACATATTCTATGATACTTTAAATTAGTGATTTAATGATGTGTTATTTATTTAATATTGGGCCTCTTAGCCTTGTGAAGCTCCCCCAAATCCTTGAATGGATGTTGCCTGATAACAATCTACAACCTGGTTTATTTTTTTTCTACCATAATTTTTCCTTCCACATGATTTCACTTTTTGACATGAAGGACAAAAGTATTGAACCTTTTCGATATATATTATACTTTTTGAGATGCAGTCATATGTTTTGACTGCATCAAAAGAGAAATGCATTTCTCTTTTTTATGAGCAAAGATGTATTGGACCTTGTTGGGAGATCCAAATAAGTAAATATCTACAGTGTTATTCATTCATAAGTCTACATATTACAACTTTCAAGCCAGTTAATTAATTGCACAGATAAGAAAGTGTTGTAGGTGTTGAATTAACACAGAACAGTGCTGATATATTTTTGAGTGTAGTAAAGAATGTAAAGGAAACTGGAAACTGCAAGCCATAAAACTGGAAATATCTAAGGAGATAAAGTAATAATTGTTTTTTCTGGTTAGACTTCCAGATATGTGAAGGCAGAAGGAACAAAATGTAACTTAATCTTCTTTAAATGTCACCAGTCGTAGGCATTCTCACACGACTAGCTCTGTTTACAGAATAAAGACGATTCTGACTCCAAATTAAATTAAAATGGAGTCATTTTCAGCCACTCACTGAGCACTTTATTAGTTAGGCTATATGTGAATCATTTAAGGCAGCAACTTAATGCATTTCCATTTTTTTTCAGCACAAAATTATCTACAATTACACATTGCAATTAGTTATTATTAAGTGTACACTTTGTTAATTATAATTATTATAAAAGTGGTTGCGCAATTTACGCAACCAATTGCGTAAATGTGTTTTTTGTATTTAGATACAAAAAACACATTTTTAACTGCCATTTTTTTTGCTGTTGTTTTAACTGCCATTTTTTTATTCTTTTGTCCTTTGAGGAGGAGGATTACACTTTGTCGTCTGCCTTCCTTCAGGTTAAACAGAGTCGGGTTGGGTTCTTACACGTTCAGCTGAACCAAATGCAAACAAACAGCAGCTCTGTGTCCTTACTTTGTTTTGCCAACGGTTTGTCAAAGGACTCCTTTGCTTCTTGTGCGATGTCCATGTCGAGCAGATCCTCTCCCTGAGCAGCAGGTGCTGCCGCCTCCTCCTTGCTGGAGGATGGAGAAGAGTGGCAGCTGTGGCAGGGTTCTTCCTTGTCCGCTGGAGCCACAGCAGACGGCGGTTCTGGTTCTGTGTTTGAAAGAACTTCTAGGCTTGTCTCGGTGGAGGCGGCTGCCAACTGAGTCGTCTCACCAACTGAACCCATAGGGGTCTCCTCCTCCTCTGGTGTTGCCTCTGCAGTGACTATGGCCTCCTCCTCATCAGACGAAGCCTCATCAGAGGAGGAAGAGTCTTCAGGAGAAGAGACGGTTTCCTCTGAAGGAGGGCCAGGGAGCGCAGTGTTTTCTTCAGCCTCGGCGATTTCCTCAAGAAGTGAAACAACTCTTTCCTTCCCCTCTTCCTCCTGCTCTGCGTCAGCTGCTGGAATCCGGTCAGCAGAGAGTTCTTCAATAGTTAGACCATGTGGCACTTCTTCCACCTCAAATAACTGCTCTTCAATATAAACAGCCGCCTCTACAGACGTTTCCACTGTGTTCTCTAGAGGATGTGGTTGCAAATCTTCCTTCAAATTGTTCAGCTGCTTCCCATTGTTTTCCATTTGGTGCAGAGCTTCCCCCAGACTCTCCTCCCCCACGAAGGCATTGATGATCTCTGCGGTGGAGCTAGCCAAGGCCTGTACAGCTGTTTGCAGATTGTGGGACAGCAGGAACCAGTCAGGATTTTATACAAAAACACAAGAACTAAAACTACAATGTGTTTTATGTAGGATTTAAATCAGACCAACTGATATCATGCATTTTATGTTTCTACCAAATGAAACATGACCTATTTTATAATCACATTTGCACAGACAGGGTCTCTATGACTGGATGGTCTATAGAAAACTTCCAGACTGGCTCATGCTCCTTGTGCCCAGTTGCAGTTTTAGACATGGGCGGTTGCCCAGGGCGGCATTAGACAACAGAATGCTCAAGCAGCATCTAAGAAGGGCGTCTAACATTTGTTTGTCAGTTGCAGCTGGTTCAGGTTTTGCTTATATGTGCAAGTAAGTGTGCAATTTTGGGCCCTGTTGGAGGTTCTACATCAGAAAGGAAATAATTCTTGCACAATTAGTAAAGAAATAAATTAAAATATTGAAGGCGTGATAAAACATTATTTTTCAACATGTTCCATGTATGAAAAATAATGAATCTTTTGTCACAGTAGTTTCTGTTTGCTATAAAACCATTAACAACCATAATACTACTCATTCACAGTTATTTCTACAATAACTAAATAGAAGTCTTAATAATTTAGATAGATTATTTTCAACTTTATGGAAGGAGGTGCATGTCGCTGTAAGCTTCATTCGTAAATATTGCCATGGGGTATTTTAAGAGAGTTTCATATAGAAAAAAATAAAAAATAAAAAATCAGAAAACGTAAATTTAAATCAATGAACATGATTTTTAGCTAGAACTGAGATCAAACACGCTGCTGGTCCGGGACCAGCTCTGCTGGTCCGGGACCAGCTCTGCTGGTCCGGGACCAGCTCTGCTGGTCCGGGACCAGCTCTGCTGGTCCGGGACCCGCTCTGCTGGTCCGGGACCCGCTCTGCTGGTCCCGGACCCGCTCTGCTGGTCCCGGACCAGCTCTGCTGGTCCCGGACCAGCTCTGCTTGTGCCGATGTTTACCAAATTCTGTTCAAAATAAAACATATAATTTTTTCTCAACAATAGGCAAGAAAATGTACAAATGTACATTTTTATAAAAATCCAATTGAATACTGGATTAATTAAAGCATTTCAAATTTCCTTTTGACCCAGTGATATTTTAATCTTTATTGGTTTATTAGAACAAATTTTAATGCCCAAACAGATTAGTGAATTTTTAAGGATAAACGTTGTACAGTATTGAGGAAGATGGGAGCTATAGCATCCTTTGAGACAGGTAAGAAAATGGCTTGAAAAGGTTTAAGTACGAAAAGATTTTATAATGACATGGATAAGGTTCATAACATGGAAACTAATTGGTGTAATCATTAAAAACAGATAAAGCAAGGTGAAAGAAGAAAACATTTGAAACTATTCTTTATTTATGTTTTAGCCTGTTTGTTGCTGTGCAAAAAAATACTTTACTTAGATCTAATCTGAAAACGAAGAGCCAGCAGGATCTTTTGGCCCCTTTCTTAAGGCCACCATGAAATGTTCTTTCATAAAAACATGACGAGGTTCTTTCTATTGCTCATATTGCTGATTTCCCCACCCAACAGTCAAACCATAATTTTCATTAAAACAAGACATTATCAGATTATTTGGTTTTCAGGAATGTGGAAGCAAAGGTAAAGAGGAAAAAAAAGCCTAAGAAAAACTGAACTGATGAACCTCTTGTGTGCATAACATATCCACTACTATACAGAAATAAACCAGAGCATGTTCCTTTTACTTTTTGTAAGAGAACGAGGTTCATGAGTCATTTTCTCTCAGGCCAGGGAATCAGGAATATAACACATCTACTTCCTAAAAGCCCTTCTTTCTAGATGCACCCTGCAGAGCTCTTCCACTTTCACGCAGCCACCTCTGCAGCACAGACTGCTTCAGGAGCTTCAGAGGGAGTCTCTGCATTAGCAGGGAGAGCAGGAGGGGCTTCATCTACGGCCGCCATACCAGCGCTCTCTGCTGCTGCTGCTGCTGCTGCTGCTGCGTCCTCAGCAGGGGTCGCGGCTGCAGCTTCAGTTTCAACTTCCGGAGCAGTCTCTTCCTCCGCAACAGGCGCTCCCTCTGCGTCTGCCGGCTCAGCTGGAGCCCCGGTGACATCTGCCTCAGACGCCTCGGCGGGCGCTCGTTCTTCTGGGCCGGCGTCAGCGGTGGGTTCGGCTGACGTCTCAGCCACTGGTTCTGGGGAAGCGGGAACAGGTTCTGGTTTGATCTCAGCTCCGGGAGCCGGTTCATCCTCTGCTGGGGCGGATTCAGCTGGAGGAGACGATGAAGCCTCTGATGTGACTTCAGCTGCAGAGGAAGAGGTTCAGAACTAATGTAAGTGAATAAAAAAGTCCCTGAAAAAAAACAAAAACGCAAAAAGTTTCACCTTTGTCTCGGAAAACCAAAGTAAATTATTTGTTGTATTTCCTGACCAAGAGTACCAATAAATGAAGAGGTTGCTGTGCATTAAACAGAAGGCCACAGATATACGTAAACACATAAGATAAAGAGAAGTGACTGGCCTCTGCAGTAAAGCATTCAAGCTTACTGAAACTAATTCAGTGACACACAGCCGTGACAGGCAGGCTGGTAAACTAGTTAATGGATTACTTTTTAGGCCTTCCTGTGTGTCATTCCTCTGTTAGGAGGAGAAAGTAAACACTTCAAAGCAACTGATTTATCAGAATCACTGTTATGAAGAGAAAATTCATCAGACACAATTTCTCATTAATACTGACATCATCATATTTTACTAAGAAATGTAAATATTTTTGGTGTTTTTATGGTTCCAATGTTTGGCTGTTTTTTTTTTGTTTGTTTGTTTGTTTTTTAAGTTTATGAGCTCAAGCTCAAGCCAAAAAATATATTTTTTCACTGATTTGCCTTCCAAGAGCTGAATCTGAAGAATGGAAAACTTTGTTTTGTTTCATTAGTTGTGTAATTTAATTTAAAGTTTCAAATAACCCATAAATCCTTTCTGTCCATAAAGGTGGCATTGTTTCTTGGTTCTGACCTATTACATTTTTTATGATTGGGTCTGATTTTTACAGTAACAGCATTTTTGTGTTTGTCAAATAAACATTCATACACATGACAGCTTAAAACTACAAAACCGCATGAATATTGTATCAGCATAAATCATACATTCAGACATTTAAGTGCAGCACCCGAACTGTCTGGGAATATGTAAACCATCATTAAACCTGGAATTGTGGCTCTTCTGGGCAAAATTGCTCATTTTTCCTGACTAAAGTAGACAAAAACTGGATCTTCAGATCACAGTGAGACTGACTGATGTCAGGATTCAGTGCGATGAGACACTGCAAGGTGTTTTAGATAGTTGGAAAAAAGAACTTCCACTGGTAAACTTTTATAAATTTGACACTGCAGCTTTTAGAGTCAAGTAGTTTTCCATCGACTGCCTACCACAAACCAGCTCGTCAATCAGATATCATTTGAGCATGGGAAGCTTTTTGACTGTGGAGGTTCTGTTGTGTCAGCACCCTGTGTGTTATCGGTCTAAAAATGCAAAGCAGCTTCTGTTAAACTGTTCAGTTTTATGACAGCAACCATCATCAGGGCCTAAATATATTGACATATATAAAACATAGATGTTAAATTGTAGCTATAAAAAAATGAAATGTTTGCACCATTTATGTGATCTGAAAACTGAATAGAATTTTAAACACTCTTCCCACATCAACATCCAAATTATTAAAGTTTCCATTTCTCCGAAGCAACTTTTTCCATGGTACATCTGAACCAGTAGCAATCTGGTTTTGCACTAGTTAGTAGCTCAGGGCACAAAGCCACAATTTCTGCAAAGCCGAGCAGATGAATAGCTCGCAGACACAAATCCAAACAGACAGGCACGATGAAGCCATTGAGAGGACTCATTCTACCATGTGGGAGATTTGGGTGGAGCAGCCAGAAGCTGCTCTGAAAAGCAGTTTTCAGGCTCGCTGCACTCATTTTCAATTCGCATTAGCACTTTTCAAACATGCATCTCAACGATGCAGAGTCACTTCACAACAAACACCCTGGTGCTTGTTGGGATGCACCAGGGTGCATCCCAACAAGCACAACAAGTTGAAGGGAAGTTACAGATAAATATATATGTAGGTTTTATTTTTACAAAATGAGCTGATTTTACCTTTCTCCTCAGAGCTCATGTTGGCCAATCTGTCCTCATAACGTTCGGTATCGCCATTAACTGTTTTATAGGCCTGAGAACGAGAGAAATGCACATTATAGTTTTTCATTAGTATAGAACAGTCATCACACTACAGCATGACACAAAGCAGCAGAAACATGCTGTTTTTCTCCAAGGAAACAGAACTTTCTGTTGTTGATGCTCATGACTGAAGTGTCTCTGAGCAGACAACAGCCTCTGTGTCTGCTCCACTGTTTAAAGCTGAGGTGCAGTCTGGAGTCCAGCCTGCACTCTGGTCGCATGTTAACTGGCTCCATATGACACCAGAAAAATATCATGCAACCCAAAGTACAACCTTCATGTTTCACCTCCTAAGAATGATGACATTACCTTAAGCATTATTTTTTTAGACTTTGTAATCAGGCAAACTTCTTGCTGCATTGCTCCTACTCCAAGCAAAGCTATTAATTCAACCAAAATAGCTAATGGTTCAGGATCTTATAAGCAAGTGGTACATTACATATTGAGCTGCTCTATGGTCATATTTCATTGTTCATACATATTCACCTGCTTTTACAAGCACAAAAATAGACAAAAATCATTCAGCTATTCAGATATGGCACGTTTTTCTGTCACCAAGACCACACTGATAAATCATCACAGTCCACAGTTTATAAAGTGAAATGAAAAGTGACATAATCCATGTTACTGCACACATTTGTAACTTAGTCTGAAACTGAAGGAAAGAAAGTTATCAGTGTTGGTAAGAGGCGTCTCATTGAGCAGTTTTATTAAAAGGTAAAAGAGAAAAAAATGAAACAGCTTAAACAAACAAAAAAAAAGAATAAACATGAATATTTACAATCAACATTATTTGTTTCTTTTTGAAAGAATTTTTTGGTAAAAGACTACTAGTTTTATTCATTAGAGACTAGAATGCATCACTACATTTTCAGCATAAAATACAGTGATCTTGTGAAAAACAAAAGAAAGATGCAAAAGTAGAATTTAATTTCAGTAAATGACACGCCGAATAATGTTTATATGTCCCTGAATAATCTGTGTGAACCTCTTAATCAATCAAACATTTCTTTTTTCCTGCTTTTTTGTATGTCTTTATCTGTATTTTTGACAACTTTTCTTTCAAGATGAGCTCAAGATCTTTGAGGCTGAAACCCCTTGAAGCCATCACTCTAATCTTTCCCTGCCTTCACAGATTCTGTATCAGATTCAAATTAGGAGATTATTATTTTTTTATCATTATAACATGCAGCAGGTTCTCAGGCTCAGGACAACGTTTGTCATTGCTCAACTTTGTGCTCACATAGACGACTGCAGCGGTAAGGCCTCCTCCACACAAAACAACGTACGCCAAGTTGGTGGATCCTCCAGGAACGCCGAAGGCCATGTGTCGCACCGGGGCAGCTGGGAAACAAAACATATTGAGAGCGTGAGTTTGGAAAAATGCAACAAACCCAAAAAAGTGAGCAGGTGAATTATTATTCACTTAACACCTTCTGCAGTATATCTAATGTAAAACATGTGAAATAAAGACATAGATAGTATTTTTTTAAAACCTCCATTCTCATGTAAGCCCTACGCCACACAGAATTAATGTTAGACATTACAGAAAACATGATTTCCTCCTTCAGTCAGCAGTCACTCCATCATACGTTGCGTTGTGACGGCTACAGCATGTCTCCATCCTTTAATCCAGTTATACAACACAGCTCTTGGTAACCGAGGACACGGAAAGATTTAGCAGCAGCCAAGCTAAACACAGAGCTGTCCCTGAATTTAACCCCGACGCAAACAGTAAAACCCTTCCTTACTGGCGCATCAAAACAAACAACTTCTAATTCGTTCAGGCTCATAAAACAGTCCCTTCAGGGACCCGCGGTGATTCCGCTGGATGCTCCTTTCAGTGGATCGTTCTTGTGCTGCTTTAGTTGCTAAACATCACCAAGAGCAATACAAAAGACAAAGCCTTAGATAAGACTCTTGCGGAGGCTGCCAGAGCCTAATCTCTCTCTAACAAGACAAAGAGCATATTGATGGACACAGTTGCTGCAGAGGGTGAAGTCATTTTAAGAACCGGCACATTGCTTCCTCAGGAGAGGTGAGTTTGCATGTGAAGCTCGGACAGAAGCGTCTTCTTGATTCTCGTGGTGTTAGGGCATTCATCTATTTCTAAAACACTGAATCTGAACAAAGTCTAATATATTATACTAAATTAATTTAACAAGTTCACCAACAGTAACGCGTCACCAGATGAAAACTTATTTTTTCTTTTTTCTACTAACCAGCAGAGTATTTTGTTTCATTACAACACATACGACATTAATATCAATTCTGCTGAAAGATGTGCCCATAAATCCTCCACAGGGAAAGACTGAAGAGTCTTCCTGATCAGTGATATTTGAACTTTCTTTTTTTTTTTTTTTTTAAAGAAAGCAGAACATGTTTTGCATGATGTGTGGGTCGGTTGGTGTAGCAAAAAATTGTTCCTAAAAACACAAACACCAACCTTAAGTGATGAAGATCGACAGTGAGCGGGTCGGAGGTGATCAGTTGGTTTCACCAGACAGTGTTGCAGACAATAAACTTTTGAAAAATAGCGCTATGAATTATGATGCTTTTTAATCTAGTCTTTTAGTCTGAAGAGAAGGGAAAAGTCTGAAACATCTAAGCTGAACCTCAGCCTTCATCTAAGCTCCCCTAAAGAAAGCACACCCACTAGATGAAGACTATGATGAAGATTCCAGATTCAGCAATCGCCTTCACAACTTCCACGCAATTTTTTTCCATTGTTATTTAAGGTTTTGCTATTTGATTAGATTTTGTTGTATTTTTCCCTTACTTTACCAGTATATTGTTCTTTGATTTGATTTGCATATTTATGCATATATTACTACATTTATCTGTGTGTAATGACTCTGCTTTCATCGCCTCAACCTGTCATTAGACAAGCTGGTGCGATGGGAATGGGTGTGCTTTCTTCTCAGTGCAGGTTTCACACAGGATGGTCATTACTGGTCCACCACCTCCAAGCTCCATTTCCTTGTAAGAACCCGTCTGATGCGAATTTGTCTGTTTAAAGTAGGATTTTCACGATCTGAAATGATGTTTTTGAGATCTGAATTGTTTTAAGTGAGTAGAAGTTCACTTTGGTCTTGGTTCCTCCACCTCTGGAACCAACTAATCTGGATTTATACTAAGTGACCCCAAAGGATGAACCTTTAACTAGACTCACAGCAAAAAAATAAATCCTGAAATATCCCTTTAAGTTTGGTATTAAAACTTTCAGTCTTTTTGAACTTGTTGCCAACCACACACAACTCCATATTGATGTGTTTTCTGACGACCCGCTGGTCTTTTACTGTATTTTAAAGTTAGGAGAACCCTGACAAAACACAAGTTTGGATTAATGTCCAGACATTCAGAGAGAGAATCACACGGATGACTCTGAACACTTGGCATGAACTACTCAGATCAGGCAAAATCCTTCCTGGTCCTCCTGAGTAGAACAACTCTCCCCAGTTGGGTGAAATTCAGCAACAATAATGATGAGGAGGATGAAGAAGAAAATGAACATCTCACTGGTTATAGCTGTGCTTTTCAGAACTGCTTTCAAAGTGTATTTTTTTAATTGATTTAATTTCCCTGTACAAACTCTTCAGCTCCCATGAAGGTTTTCGGTTGTTACGTAAAATTAAAACTAAAACTCATCTTAGACGCATTGTTCAGGCTTGAGATCAGCTAATGTTTTCTTTTTAGCCTGACTTTCATTTTGACTTTCAGAATTATATCTTATTTCATTTAATTTTTTTTACTGTCACTACAAGAATGTCAGAGTTTGTCTTTGCTTTGTTGTTTTGCATTTTCAATATGATGGTCGTGTTTAACATTATTTATCTTTTATGTTGTTTTACAGTATCACTTTAGATTTTAAAAACCCTTACATGTAATGGTCGATTTTCTGTTCTGTTTCCGATTATTAATGCCTGATTTATTTCCTGGGTTTTGCGATTCTTCGCTGTTGTTGGCACGAATGTCTGTAAAATCTTTTCATTCTCCTGCACATTCCATGTGACAAGTGCTCCATAAATAAAGACTGATTAGTTTGTTTTGTTTTTGGTTGTCAAAACCATTATTTTCTTCTTGCAAAAATGCTGCGCAACATGAAAAGATGTTGGGTGACTCCTGCTCTTGTCGAGCCAGGCAGGAGAGCCCATCTTGAACTCACCAGAACAACAGAGAGTCTTACTTGAGCAACAGATTCAAAAATTGAGAAACTAAGCTGTTTTTTTTGTTTTGTTTATGTTTTTTCTTGCTCCACTTTTAGCAAAAGAGAAAAGTAAACATGTTGAGGTGGCTATTGTTCCAGCTCTGCTGGATTTAAAGCTCAGGGTTTCCATTTTTGTGCACGGCTTTCCTAGTAAAGTTTACACATTGCCCAGCCGTGGATGCTTTTGCAGCCATCTGTCCTTCCTCCTGCTCTAATACCCATGACACAGCAGCCCCATGCGCAGGTTATTTATACAGGTAATCAGTTAATCCCTGTGGATTCCTCAAGTTCAAGCTGTATGTAAAAATGAACGACAGAAAACAGTCTGCAAGGACAGTGGCTTCCTGCATCCAGCTCTGCTGTCTTTGTTTAAATCCTAAAGTCACACAATAATAGTTTTCCAGCCTAGATACATTCAGGTTCACAGGAATTTTCTGAAACAGGAAATTAAAGCTCCCTCTCGCCCTCAGGACAGATTCCTGAAGCTCAGACTCCAAATGCAAAGGACAATCATGGGGAGTGTGAACGTACAAAGATAGAAAAAATCTCCTGAAAGAAGAAGGAAACAGTTCAGCTCCAGCGCTTCCAAAATGCTTGTGTTCAGGAATGAGACATGCTCATGGTGCACAATGTGAACAGTCCCATCGCTGTTGCATGATTCCCAAATTCGGACGGATTCTACTGCAAATAGTTTACAATATTTTTCTATTTTTTTAAATGACACCAATTTAACAAAAAAAAATAAATAAATTTTAAAAATTTGCAACGGTTTGAAACATTTTATCCACATTTATCCACAAGTTTAGCTGTAAAGCTCTGTCATGCATGTGGGAACTGTGTGTTCCCCCTCCAGGACACACCTCCTTCACTCAGACTGCACATTAAAACCAACTACGATTCTCTTTTCCAAAATAACATAAAAAAGGAAAAACAAAATAAACAAAAACAACAACAACAAAAAACCCTGATACCTTAAGCAAGTAAACTTTTTTTGTTGTTGTTGTTAAATCACACTATGAAAAGTTACTTCCTCCTCCCTCCCATTCCCCTCCAATGACGAAAACATCAATCAGACTAAACACCAGAAAGTGGTAAATAAACAACATACCGCTCTTGGACGTGGGCCTCAGAAGCCACCGTGCCAGGGGCCCGACTCTCTGCAAAGCCCGTCTGCAGAACATGTTGACGTGTTTTCAGCAACAGGTGGAAAGACACGTCTGCCTCCAGTCGCTGTTTGGAGAGAAATGACCCGCAGCTCTCTCTCTCTTCCTGCGCATCGCTCGGGATAAAAAGCGCACCATCCAGCATCCCCTCCCACCCCATGAAACAAAAAGTACGCCCTCTGCAGGTGAAAACCTCAAACTACAAACGGACAAGGGGGAAAAAAACCAAAATCTGTTTGGAAGTAAGAATGTATGTTTCTGCAGATATGAAGCTGGATTTTTTTTATATCTCATTTAATAATCGTCGAGCAGAGTGATGGAAGTGAGTTCTTTGCGATCTGTCCGCATCTGTGAGGAGGTTCAGAGGCTCAGAGGTCCAGAAGCTCAGAGGGCCCACAGGCTGCTTTTCAAACGGATTACAGACCAAACCGTCTGCACGGAAACAGTGCACTGCAGTTGCATAACGAAGCAAACGGTGCCAGAGTATTGATGCGCAAACCCTGATGTCAGAGACAAAAGCCCAAACCAAACGCAGGGAGGCGAAGAAGAGGCGCGCGGGCCAGAAATAGTCATCGCTTTATCAATATCAGTCAGAGGAGACTGTTGTTTTTGTTGTTTTCTCTTTCAAACCTTGTTTATTATTTATTCTGCCCACTTTGATACATTGATATGAAGTCTTTCTTTTTAAAATGTTTTTTTTAATTGCAATAAATTTTATTTGCGATGTCTTATGTAAATCTTTCTTGAAAAGTAGATGTTGCAAATTGCTGAATGTAAACAGACACGAATGAAACTGTTTCCTCATCATTTCCTGTGCAATCCAGTGTAATTCAAATGAAAGTGTTTAAAAAGAAAGAAGAATGTTTGTAGAAAAACCTTCAGAAGCCTCAGAGAACTATTGATTGTAACTGATTTTTTATTGATTTATTTAGTTTTGATAACGATTGCAAAACAAAAAAAAGTCTGAGTTTGCTCAAACACAAACATCAGAACAGAGATAGTTTACGTCAATTGTAATGGACCTGGTGGACCTGCAGTGAAATGATCTCTTTGCATTGTTTAGCTGAAGACAAAGAGCTTACAAATGATTATATGAGCTCAGTGAGCAGAGGAATCAATAGACAGGTTTGTTGTGGCAAATTCTTTCCCTTTTTAGATAATGGAATAAACACAGGTAGAAATAATGTTTTGTGACCTCACTCTGCTTTAAACCTTCTGCAGCATCTTTCTGAACCCACCATATGCTGTGTCTGTTCACATGAAGCTCTAGTAAAATACATTCGCTGTCAAGACAAAATGTGAAAACAGTCGAACTGGAAAAACTCTTGCAAGGTACCAACATGTGAAGACAATTTTAGTTTGTGCATTTATTGCATGAAAACGAAGAAAAATGTCATTTTAAAATTTGACCTGCATTAATGATGTCGCTATGACATCAAAGTTTTTGCAAAATCACAACGTTCCTGTTTTCTGACACTACTGTGACGCAGCAGCACCACGAAAGCGGAGACCTGATGTCCCGCCTCTGAACATAAATGTGAGGATGTAACTGAGGAAGATGGACTAAAAAATGTTCAAATACTGAGTTTGTGCCACGATCTCAGCAGTTTCCAAAGGATGACTAAAGTCTTTTCTAAGAGACATGAACAAATTACTTTTAAAAAAACCCAAAACAAAAAAACACACATTTTGCATCTTCAGCAAAAACCATCTTTACTGTTTTCGTGGTATTCTCCAGAAAAGCCTGCCGGTCGTCCCTTTCATTATCGTCTTCTTCGAGTTCACAGTGAGACTTCTAACGTTTGACTGGTGAATGTTGCACTAGTGCAGCACACACACACACACACTCCACTGTGTGTGTGTGCCTCATATGACCAGCTATGAATCACCGATTACAAACATCATCTCAGATACACATGTGATGCACTTTTTCCACCACACGCACACACACTGGGGTCACGCATAAGAACGCAGTTTGTTCCTATGCTGCAGTGGGAACAAAGAGATGGAGTGTCATAAACATAACGTTATTGTTTTCTGTCAAGGGTAAATAAATCACAGCTGGATGGAAAAGTAAAAGGTTAACACCAACAAGTCAACTTGTCAGGCTTTTCATATTTGCTGCACTTGTGCAACAAATATGAAAACATATAAAAATTGTACAAATCATTGAACTTCCAAAATAATTGTCCCCATATTTTGACCTGGAGCAACCTGAAGTAAGAAAGTCTCCACTGGCAGCGTCTGAAGAACTTACTGCAGTGGGAAACGGGAAAGAGACGGAGTGGGAAAACAGTCCCACACAGCACACATTCCCAGTGAGACCACACAGGCCGACAATAAATACATCACTGTGCCGAAGGCTCAAGGATGTTTGTCTTAACAGTCTTTTATTTTGAAACAATATAAACAATGAGATCACAAATATACAGAAATACTTCAAGGAATACATCAATTATGAAAATCAAAGCCATTAAAAAAAAAGAAAAACAACACTTGGCATTGGTCAAAATTAATCACCAGGTGAATTTTTACATTCAGAAGCTCAAATATTAAAGTCACATTTTCCTAGTTGGGGGCAGAGTGTGGAGGGAACCAGAACCGTCCTCAGCAGCAAGTCCACGGCTCCTTCTCCTGCACTTTCCTGTGAACTTTAAAAGATCCGCTGTATGCTGGTGAACTGGCCATTAGTGTTTTGTGTCTCTTCAGCATCGTCCCAACGGCAGAGACAATGTCCTCCACTTTACTCCGCTGACACGGCTCCTCTCCTTCACCTTGTCGTCCATTGAAGCGTTTCTTAGGCAGGTTCTTGGCGGAAGTCTCAAAGAAGACCATCCCGTGAGCCTTGGCGAAGTTCGTCGCCAGCTCCTGGCTCACATGGCAGCCGGTTCTGCCGGCATCACGGAGGTCACTTTTATTCCCAATGAGGAACCTGAGGAGAAAGGCAACAAATGAAAGGCGCCTCAATGTGGAATTCCTCAGGGCTTTGTACCTGGGACCTGGGATATTTTTCAAACTGGAAGCTTCCGACAGGCTTTATTTGGGGAAACTTGACGTCTTATACAGATCAACCAGTTTGAACTGATCATGTTGTCTGAACTAAACAGCTGAACTGCAGTTAGTTTAGACTAAAAAAAAAAGTCAAATTTCTTTTAGTCTAGCCTTTCTAGACTAGAAGAAATTGGATTTGTTTATTGTCAGAGTCAATATTAAAACGTCGATAAAAAAACAAAACAAAATAAAAAAAAACAGAAAATGATATATAAAAAAAGACTGGAACAATTTCCAGTGCAGATTTTTTTCAAGACATAACCTGGCATCATGTTCATATTCATTTACGTGGAACTTTGTAGAAGTACGAATAAAAATCAGATTTTAATTCAAACAAAAAGACAAGATCACAGCCTGTTTCTTATTTAATGGCTGACAGCAATGATAAATCATGTCATACATATCAAATGCAGTTTTTCAAAAGGCAGTTTTAAAACTTTATTTTTTTTCCCTTTATACTTTTATTACGGACACCGGCCTCTGAAAAGTTGATACTGAGTTTTTTTAATTTTATTTAAACATTTATTTCACCAGGAAAATTCCATAAAAAAAACAACCAAAAAGTAACTTTGCAGAAGAATCCTGGCCAAACTGGCAGCAGCACACATAGATTACATTCAAAGTAAAACCAGGAACCGTTAACACTGTTACAGTTTAAGACTTTAAGTTCATCTTTAAAATTGTTTTTTATATTTTTAACTCATAAAAAAAATCATTTCTTCACAATATTATTTGTATTACCACCATGAAACTGATTTATTTCCAAAAGTTTCTGCTTTTAATTAAACCTCAGTGCTTTCACTTTAACTTACTTGGGTATTTCGTGACCCAGAGAGTTCTGCCGACACTCTTCCACCCAGGCGGCCAGTCCCTTGAAACTGGACGGACAGGTGACGTCATAAACAAACAGCACCGCGTGGACGTTCCGATAATAGTGCTGCACCATGGACTTCCGGAAGCGCTCCTGTCCCGCAGTGTCCCACAGCTGGAGCTGATCGGCAAAATGAGAAACAAGAGATTGAGTACAGAACCGAGATGTGGCTTTTTCCTCAAAGTTAGGTGGCAGAAACCAAAACAGAAAAAAAAGAGGAAATGAATGAGGCTGAAGGCAAACAGAGGAAAAGCATCCGTGTGTTGAAATAGCTACACACTCTGATTTTTTGCAGAACAGAGGCAAAATTTTAAAAAAGTCGCTGTCATATGGAGAAATAAAAGAGTGAATCATTTCTGATAGCGAGCTAAGGAAAGAAACAAACACGTTGACTTCAACCTGGAGAACACTCAGGTCAATATTTTGAAACAAGATTTTTTTTTAATTTTTCATTCAGTACTTTAAAATTGACTCAGTAGCAGGATGAGCAGCTGGACAGGTCCGTTTTGCACCAGGATTTCAAATGAGTCCTAAGAGAATTAGCAGGACTCAAAGTTCATCTCTCAATCAGAATGTGGTGCAGAGTTTTACAAGACTTTGCTTATTTTTATCTAAACCTCTGCTGTTTGGTTTTCACTGATTTTTCTGTTATCCAGTGGCTTATCTCTGGACAAACAGACAGACATTCTCCTTCTGGGTTGCATTCGATCCAAAATGGCCACATCATCCTGTTTGGACTTGGAGCAGATTGCAGCACTATGTTTCTCGCCAGCAGGACGGACGGGAGAAAGATCTGGATGTTCAGTAAATGACTGATCCAACACAGTATCATGATCTGTAATTTTTTCTAATTGAACGAACATCAATCAATCTTGGGTTTTCTTTGGCACAATGTTACAATCTTAGCAAACTTTTCCTCTGGAAGTTACTTTCACTCTTGTGAAACTTTTTTTTTTTAAAGTCTATATACTCTGCCAAAGGAATATTTCATATGAAGAAGCAAAACAAAAATGCCCAACAAAACCAGTGTTTGTGGATGTTCTCAATAAAATCAGATGTTTTTGCTAAAAGTGGGCACAAATAACAGCCTTTTAATGTGCAAAGCAAAGACATGCTTCAAACCTTACAGCTGTCACTGCTGTGAATTGTGGTTTTATAAAAAACAAAAAAGGAACAAAAAACATATGCAACCTTTTCCTTCCACTTCCTGATAACACTGGTTTGTGTTCACCCATCACATCATCACATCAAATACAAAGTTGTTTATTTTAACGAGACAAAATAGGGGGAAGGAGAGATAAAATAAAAATCACCATGACATCTTGAATCTAAAGCAGACCAGTTTTGTTATTGAGCAATACGACACTTCTCCCATCAGAGACCAGAGGAGGAATCAAACCCTCTCCTCCTCAAGGCATTGAGTGGAAAAAGTTAAGACACTTCCTCTCTTATGCGTCAATTTCAAAACACTCAGGAAACCAACCGGCCAACCAACCAACACCCACACATTAAAAAAAAAAAAAAAATTTCATAGAGAGCTTATGTCTGCAGGACTTCCCAACAAATCACCAGTGCACCATGACAGAACAGTGCAGCTGGAATTAGATGCACTGCTGAGGTTCACATGCAACACGCCACTAAAATTTATTCTCCACATTTTTAAGCTGCAGACACAGAAAGTCCGGCTCACTTTCTGCTATCCTGGGGGAATTTGTTGCTCGGCTGAGAACAAGCAACAGCTCCATGAAAAAAACGGGAAGAAAATACCAGACATGTTTCAGCTTGAGAACCATCTATGCGTAAAACTAAAATGTTTCTGGCATGTCCGCACCGTCTTTGGGTGATTTTCAACTTAAAACGAGAATCTTAACAAAAAAAAAAAACAACAACAAACAAACAAACAAAAAAGAACAAAGAAAAAGAAAAAGTCTCCTCTTACTTTTATTCTCTCTCCATCAACTTCCAGCGCTCTCTCGCGGAAGTCCACCCCGATTGTGGCCTCACTCCCGCGGGGGAACTCCCCGGCGCACAGCCGGTGCGTCAGGCAGGTCTTCCCCACCCCGGAGTCTCCGATCACCAGCACCTTGAAGGTCCGACAGCGGCCAATCAGGGAGGACACGCTGCCCAGAGAGCTGGAGAACTCCAGAGAAGACTCCATGAACCCGACCGCTGCACGGATCCAAAACTCCGCGACTCCGGTGACTCTGGGGTAAAAGCTTCCCTTTGTCCGGTCCGGTCCGTCCGTTTTGGCCAAGAAGCCGCTCAGCCTCACTCCACGGCGCTGGACAGCCGCGTGGCTGGGAGAGGAGGGGAAGTGGGGCGTCTTCGCGTCAACGTCTGTGTTTGATTTATCGGAGGAGCCGGAGGGCGGAGAGTTGATCAGACAGACATGGAGACCTGACCTAATCGATCATGTTGATCGGTATCAATGGGGCGAAAGTTTAAAGTCCTTTACACGTTTCACATAATCACATCTATAACAGAAAACCCGTGTGTGTGTGTGTGTGTGTGTGTCTATCCAAAGGACATGGCACAAAAATGATAAGTAAATAAATAAATATCTTATTGCTGAATCACGATCGTCGGTTTTAACTGTTCATCTCATTTGGAATATCACCAACCTTCAGTAAACATGGAAACAAAATAAGCTAAAAAACACAACAAAAACCCAGTTTGGTCTAGTCAAATCACAGGAAAAGGGCTGTACAGTTTAAACTGACTTTACCACAAGGATTACTAAAAATATGAGTCTTTAAAAAAAGACATACACTAACTAAAAAGCCAAAGTGTAATAATAATTCTCATCACTGTATCCTAAACAGTAAAAAAAAAAAAAAAAAAAAAAAAAGCATGAATACTAATAGAAACATTTCAATAACATTTGAACTTGAAATCAACATTTGCTAAAGTACATACAGACACTTCTGTATTTATGGCGGATAATAGAACATTTAATTTACTACAATCTATTCTCAAATCATTGAAATCCACACAAGTATGCAACAAACTAACACCTGATTGGTTCCGGTTAGACCAATCCCCTCGCAGTGTTGGCGCCGCCTACTGGCGAGGGACTGAAAAAAAGGTTAGAACTAATTGAATGAATACAGAATGACTTAACAAAATTTAGATTTGAAGACTATTTTAATGTTGCGTTCATCGTAATGTGGAGTGATTTTAGCCAAGTTGTCACAAAATAAGTATTTCATGAGTTCCTTGTTTATTGAACAATGACTCTGCAGCGACCTCTACAGGACACAGATTCACCTTCAAGAGTGTTCAAAGTTTCTTTATCACATTAATTTATACTCCAGTCTAACGTAGAATCACTTTTTGGTGTCAAATCCATTTTAAATACAAGCGGCTCGTTTTTGTCACCTGAGCATTTGAAAAGTGAGAAAAGCCCATCAGAGCTTTTCAGAGTATCTGTATTTATAAAAACGAGGGCAGCGAAAGACGCACAAGAACTCGGATTTCTTTTCTTTTGTTTTTAATACAAAAATCCAGAGATATCATACATCACCACCTCAGATTTCATCTTTCACATTAGAACCCAAATGAGAGGAAAAAGGGGAAGAAAAGTTCCTGAAACCGAGTGGAACAGAAGAGGTAAAATTGTGTTGTGACACCTTCCCTCAACAGGCTTCGATGCTGATTTCTGACTGTTCCAAGAGCCACTTCAGGTACGAGGTCCCTCTGAAGGACGCGTTAAAATGCTCATTTTCTTTTCAACAGAGCGCTGACATGCAGATAAAACCATTTCTAACTGCAACAACAACAACTACACACGGGCCTCTGCTCACAGGATCAGTGGATCCACAAAGCCTGATTAGCGTTCGTGGTTCCACTGACCCTTTGTATGGACTGGAAGGTGACTATGGTATTGCTTAGGTTTACCCATCTCTGTCATAACCATGTAGGGAGAAAACAAAAACAAACAAACAAAAAAAAAACAACAACACAGTAGCAGTGTATTGGAAACAGAGCGCAACACAATCTTTACAGCTTTTATTCTGTGCTACAAGGTGCTCCAAAAGATCAGATGGGATTAAATGTTCCCTAGTTGAACCCAGAGCGGTGAAGGAAGCACATTCTGATGGAAAACTGTCCACGTGTTGCCGTGTCTCCGCGGGGGAATCGGGTCTTTCTCCCAACTCTCCACAGACCCTGAAGTGAGTTTGAGAGCAGATGCAGATGTGCCTGCAGCCGCTGGATGTCCTCAAATTGATTAATGTTCAGCTGGCTGCAGGCCAGAGACCGGATCCACTCCGTCCCACATCATAGAGCGACGGCCGTGTCTCGTTTCCATAGAACTGAGATATTCTTTTTAAAATAAGGGAACACAGTTATGCTATTGTTTGGAGTCCCAACTCAAGCGGCTGTAAATCGACGACCCGAGTCAAAACCAGCAATCTGTGTCTTTGTGTCACAGTTTCACCCATCTGTTTCACGATGACTATTTATTTGCAAGTTCAACTTGGTTGCAGACTGTTAAAAAGTAAAATGTTTGCTCCGTCATCTTCCTCTTTTTCCCCCCCTTTAAACCGACAAATACATTCGCACGCACTCAGCACACACACAGTCCTGAAGTTCACCCACATGGGAGAGAGCCGAGCCATGCCAGGTCAGACCAGATTAAGGAGAGCCAGAGGACCAAACACCCTCTTTTGCTTCCTGTTTCTGGCTCTTTAAAAAATAAAAAAAAAAAAAAGAAAGAAAGAAAAAAAAATGGCTGCCTGGCGTACCACAAGGCTCTGTGCTCAGCCCAACTCCTTTTCTTAACCGCCGCTCTTCTGCAGCGCTTACATCTCGTTGGCTAGCTCCTCCGTTTCTGTGGAAACGTCTCCATTCGCCATCTTTGTGTTCTCCTCGTAGCCGGGGGGCATGAAAGCTAACGTGTACGGGTAAAGCTTGTGACACTCGGCACGGTACGACTCCGCGTGTTCTTTACAGTCTCCCAGCGAGCCGCTCCGAAGACAATCCAGGACTTCTGTGCAGGTCTGTTTCACAGGAAGAGATGGACAGGGGAGAAATGAGGAAGCAGCTCCAAATTATTCAGGCCTGCAACGGCAGCCAGATATCATAATTCATTTATTTTGTGCCAAAAAATGGAAAAATCCTAGTCTTGCTTCATCTTGTGCAAAAGAATGTGACGCGTAATTAATAAAATAAGTCTTTAAAAAAATTCTTAGAAACAACTTAAATTAGTAGAGGAACAGTGTAAATAGTGCCGCTGAAAGATATGAAAAGTAGATTCGTTGAGTGAGTGCGTACTTGTATAGTTCTGTTGTTGAGCGACTCGTCCAGTGATGTGGCCAGTTCTGCTGCTTTTGTTTCCGTTGACGAGTCCAGATACACCATCATCTTCGCAGCTGCAGGACGAAGACAACGTGACTTTGAGGGAACGCAACGCCGTGCTTGTAAAACAGAGCAGCTGTTTCTTCTGCACCGCGTTTCTGATCCTCAAGTTTGAAACTTTGTAGAGTCGTTGCAGTGAACAAAGTCACATGAAGTGGAATGATATTTGATTCCACAATATGCTGCCCTCACCGATGACGCTACAGACACTTGTCTAAGTTTTGCCATAAAGCAGAACAATTATTTTCAAGAAGCACATTTCAGATCAAAGTCAAGAGTCCTGAACTAAGTTTAGGTTTCACTTTTGTACATTAAGCCAAACAAAAGGACACAACGATCGGCTTACAGTTCAATAAAGAACCACAAGGGAGCAGCATTGTGACTAAATAACACATCAAACTGGCTCTACTGTCGCCGTTCTACATATTTGTACCCAACATGACATTTGCTCACCAGCCAGTCGGTGTGGTATGGAGTCTGAGTGCTTGGTGAGGTAGGCCTGGTTGAAGCTCTTAGCGTTGCTGTCTCCAAACAGCCGGGTGATTTCCTGCTTCAGCACCGTCCTGACCACGTCCGGCAGCTCCTTGCTCTCCGAAACTGAAGAAAGACAGAAGATGAGACATGATGGGTCACTGCAGAGGAGAAGAAATGTTTGCTGCGACGCAACAGAACTAGAAACTGGGCCTTACCTCCTTTAAAGAAGCGCACCAGACACTGGTGAAGCCATGGGTGGTCCGGATCGATGCTGAGGGCTCTCTTCACCGACTGGAGCATCAATAGGGATTTTTCTACAAGGAGAGCAGAGATTAGCAAAGAGTGAAAAGAGAAGAAGCTTTTAAAGTAGTAGGAGGAGAAAAGGCGACTGGCCAACCTTTCCTGAAGTAAATCTCAAAGGCCAACAGGTGCGTCTCAATCTTGTCTTTAACCAGATGCTTCAGCGGCGTCAGGAACTTGACTGCTTCCTCCAGCGGACTTTCTACCTGCAAAAAGACAGAACCAATAATTACATTAATATCACCATCAGTTTCTGATAATCTGCTCCCTTTTTGTTCCGTCACCAACCTTGACCAGTTTCTCGGGAATGAGCTCCTCTTTTGGCCCCCCGATTTCCTCGTCGTCATCCTCCTTCTTCTTCTTCTGGTTCTTCAGCTGCTTCTCCTTCTCCGCGTTCTTCTTCTCTTCCTCCAGCTGCGCTTTCTTCTGGGCTCTTCGCTGTTTGTTCCTCAGCTTCTTCAGCTCTTTATCAGACAGGTTGGCTGCAGAATAACGTCGCAAAGACAACTTAGAGCTGAATCAAACATTTTCAGCTTTTGTTTGCTGAACTGTTTGGAAGAATGAGTGTGAACAATGATCTCGGGCTGATTCTTTTTCCCCTCACCGGTGTCCGCCTGCAGCTCTTTGCTGTCGTCCGTCAGGGGATTGTCATGCAGGCTCAGGTAAATCTGGATCGCCGTGGTGGCAGCCTTGTAGTAGAAGGGATGCATGCGGAGAACATCCTCCAGCTTCAGGAGGTCCACGTAGGAGCGTAGCGTCATCTTTCTCATGCAGTAGGTGTGGAAGTCGAACTGGTCGTCTGTGATCTCCACAAAATGCTATTCGGAGCAACGAAGAAGAGTTTTAGCTCAAACAGAGGAGCGACGTGCGATGAAGCGGCAGGAAGCAGCCGACGTAGAGACTAACCCTCTCGATCTCGTGACACTTCTTCAGGGCTTCTCCAAACTTGTTCATGGCTTTGTAGGCGAGCGCACATTCGGTCTGGAACCACATGCACTGCATCTCGTTCAGGTTCTCCACCGCTGACGCCCCCTCCTGGGGGAACATGAGAAACACAGGCAGATCAGAGCAGATGTAACTCCTGCAGAGGGCGACTGTAGTCTCAGTTCACTCTGGGAGAACATCCAAAGTAAAGCTGGTACAACACAAAAGGCAGATATCCGACAAGGGGTGCAACTAATGATTACTTAATGATCGATTATTCTGTCAATCGAATTAAAAACAATGGCACGCTGAAGAAAATGCATGTATTTTTGGATTACCTATTGCTCTGAATAGCAAATGGCTTTTTAAAGAGTCTACACTCCAGATAGCTACTGATTACTAATTGCGATGAATTGATTACTGCAATAATCAATTCATCGCAATTAATCTGATTAATCACTTCAGCCCTAATCACCACACTATAATTTCAATAGAAAAGAAAAACACTTTATATTCTAATCATTTTTGGTCCCACTGCAACCTTTCCAGAAAAATCCAATAATTACATCCATTGTCTTAATAGAGGCAAAAGCCAATGAGGACTGAGCTTCTCAGCTCACATTTGGACAAAAACTAACGACTAAACATGCCTGCAACCTTTTGATATTTCTCACCCGGGTGAACTTGGAGCACATTTCCTCCGCCTCTTTGATCATGCCCGCCTTCAGCATGTACTTGGCACACTTGGAGTTGATGAACCGGTCGGCGGTGTCCAGAGTCTGGGCTTCGTCCATCCACTGAGCCGCCTCTCTGATGTTCCCAGCGTGCTGTGTCGGGGAAGAAGACGGTCACTTGGGGCAACAGAGCTGCAGCCCTCGACTCAAACACACACACACACACACACACACACACACACACACACACACACACACACACACACACACACACACACACACACACAGTCCCTTGCGTGTGGCGTGACGTTTTGCTACCTTGTAAATCTTGGCTTTGATGAGGAAGAGTTCGATGAGCGTGGGCGTGCTGTCGATGGCGGTGTTGATGTGTTCGAGAGCCAGGGTCTGCTGGCTGATCATGTTGTAGTGCTGAGCAAGGAAGTACTGCACCCAGAGCAGCGTGGTGGGAGGCTCCTCCTTACCGTCGTCTGAAGCAGTGAAAACATCTTAATACACGGCTTTTTGTCAAAATTTTGTTAATAAAATTACTTCCCACTTACCGTTCTGGCTGAACATTCGACAGCTTTTCAACGACGTTTCATAGCTGACCACTAATTCCTCTATAATTGCCACCTGAGAAGAGAAAGAGCAAAGACGATCTCAATGGCAGAGAGGAAAGTGAATCATGTTTCCTTTAATCCCATCAGTTTCACAAAAATGTCAAAATTTCATTTCTGCAATATCTCACCTTTTCTTTGTCACTGTACAGCGATTTGAGCGTGGTGAAGACAGGCGGGCAGCCTTTACTGAAGTTCATCCTCAGGTATCTGTCCAGGCACTCCCTGAACTTCTCACCTGCACGTAAAGAAAAATTCAGTTTTCAAAAAAAAAAAAAAAGGAATCAGTAAATCTAGAAAACACTTTAAAGAGTTTCTCAAATGATCTAGTTTAAGCTAAAGTTGCCACATCATTAGACATACCTGAGAGGAAGTTAAGCGGCAGCCTTCGAGGAACCAGCCCCTTAGGAAACTTCTCCCAGGTTTCTTCATAGATCTTGAGTCTCTCCTCAACGCTGCCTGATAAAAGAAACTACATTTAGCTGCGCCTCATAAAACCAGAGTGGTTAACTATGATGTCCAACTCCCAGATCAATCCTACTGGGTTTCAGGGCTTTCTCCAGGCCGTGGTAATAGGACCAGTTCTCCGGGTTTCTCTCCTGCAGACGCCTGTAGACCTCTGTGGCTTCGTCCAGGCGCTCCAACTTCAACAGCAACTCTCCTGCAAGAACACGACTTTAGAAACGTCTTCCATGCTGACATGTTGCAAAAGTGCAAATCACGCAGGACGCCGACTCTTCATGACTGGAGTCGGCCACGCCTTCATTATTGGGCTTTTGATCAAATATCTGTCAGCCGAAGCTGACAAGATCAGATTTTATTTCCCGTGTTGAATATTAAAATGACTGTAGTTTCTCTGCCAAGACTGTCAAGTTTTACTGGACTGAATAAATGATTTGCAAGTTTTCCTTGAAAATGTGAAAAACAACCATTTACTTTTTTCCCCACACAGTCACTTGTTTCACAGGGGACAGTTATTTAAGTTGAACAACATGTTCCTGTTTAAATTAACTGAGATTGAGAGAGATGTGAGATAATGACCCGAAACAATTTAATGTCATACAACATCATAAAGCTGAATATTTAATAATAACATTGTACATCTTAAATGTCAAGGTGGGCAGATTCAATCCTGAAAATCCAGATACATTTATGTTTAATAGAAGAAAATGTGAAACAATGTTTCAAACAGAGAAAAGTTAAAAACTGGTAGAAATGCTTAAAGCTTTTTCAAGATTACTGAACTCACTGAAAACAGTAGTGTGGGACACATGAGTGGGAACAGCACAAATTATGAAAATGATACTTAACTGAGGAATTATTTGACACTTTATTGCAGAGATATTTGACACCTCCGTCCATATGTACCCGGTCGAATTCTTTATTTCAAATATTTGTGACTCAGAGGGGGATGTGAAACAGCTACGTTTTAAATTAAATGTAAAGTTGGCCTGCCGTACTCGCTTGCTCCTCATGTTGGGCAGCAAAACTCAAACCAGTAGCTGCTGTTGGTCCACAGTGGAACAAAGTGACTGGAATTCAAGCACACAAAAAAAACCCCACAGCATGATGCTGCCACCACCACGGTCTCGCCTGATTGGAGCACCTTCTGGTGCACACTGGAGGTGTGAATACTTTTTTGCAAGGCAGGGGGAGACTCACCTCGCGTCTCCTCCACGGCAAGTTTGTCACAGATCTGCTTCTCGTAGTTGGACAGATGATCAAGGGCCTCCTTGTACAGACCGGCCTCTCTCAGCACCTGGTTCTGGTACAGCAGCAGCTCGCTGTACTCGTAGTCCACCTTGTCCGGAGACGTCTGGGCGGAAACAGGCAGGGAAAGGCCTCTGTGAGATTTTACTGACCGGTACCTATGGAAACCTGCCTTTGCACCGGACAGGAAACTCCAAACAAGTTTATAAAGGCGTCTGCTTGTCGTGCTACACCGAGGGCACAAAGGCAGGAAGCAGGCTAATCTCATCAGACAAAGAGGGTAAAGCTCCACTGCTGGTCTGATTTCAGAGTCTAGTATTTAAGCAGAAAAAAAAAAACTCTTATGTGAATTAAACAGCAGCTGTCAAGCACAGCATGACAAAATCCGTCAACAAACTCCGTTCTGGTCTTACAGAGCGGTCCCTCGTTCTCACAGCCTTCATTGCATCTCACCTGCTGCGTTTTCCTGAACTCTTCAATGATTTTTGCAGCCATTTCATAATCTTCAAGAAGGTGATAGGCGATGGCGTATCCGATCCAAGAGGCCCGCTGGGCGGGGCGCAGCTGCAGGAGCTGGTACCTCGTCTCCTACGGAAACAAAGAAAATATTTATGTCTTCTTCGAGTTTGAGTTCCGATATGTGTAATTATTTGATATTTGGAGGAGGAAAAGAGCAGGGAGTGAAGAAAGAGGTTTTGTGCCAGCGTCCAAAAATACCAAAATTAAAAGTTTTTGATTGGACAATAAGAAATAATAATTATAGTTGTTTTTTCACAAGGAGTTTCTACAGCAGGCTTTGAAAAGTAAGTATGCAAGTAAGTATGCAACCCATCTATCTTCATTTTCCATATTTACAGAAAAGCCTCGCTTCATTCTACAAAATCAATTCCACCCCGTCTTGTAACAGGATTTGGTTCTAAAATTTGAAAACAAAAATACATTTTAGTTTAACTTTCATAATAAAACATTTTATGTAGAAATATTTTAAAAACAATGTTGTTTTTTGCCACTCCATTCGAGTTTTATTGTGCAGCAGTGAGGAAAAAAAGTGGCTCTTTGAATGGCAAAGGTTGCTGACCCCTGCTGTAGAGCGGAGCGTTTTGCTGAGTCAGGTTTGCTCTAAAGCCTTTCAAAGAGAAGCTTTTTACACTTTCATTCATATTTTTAATCCCTTCAACCCAACATTTATCTCAGCGTTCCATTCACTCACTAGATTTGAATCCCAGGCTGAGATAATCATGAAATGTGAGGACTAACACACTGAAGTCTTGAAGGGCCTGGTGACAAATCAACCTGCATAATCACAAACAATCTTTCTTTGCCGACAATTGATTATTTTCTTTTTTAACTCAAAGCAAAGGTCAAACATTTTTCCAGCTTATTTCTCACAAAAGGCTCGCTGGGCTCAAGAGGATTTGATTTGGCCGGTCCGCCTCACCCTGTATCCCTCCAGGTCCCTCATCTGGATCTGCAGCAGCGACAGATCTCTCAGGATCTGCAGGTTGTCCTTATCCCACTTCAAAGCGTTGCGGTAACACTTGATGGCCTCGTCGTACTTCTTGTCGGAGCGCTGCAGTAAACCGTAGACGTGCCAGCCTGCGGCGCGGGGGAGAGTTAAGGAAAAGAGCACACACCGTTCGTCCAAAGCGTCTGAGACCAGGAGACAAATTGTTCGCGTCAGGGCGCGATGGTCAGGGCAGTGGACCTGTCAAAGCTTTTAATCAACACTGTCCCAACACATTTTTCAGGTCCAATTTCAATACTTTTCACTAGTTTTCAGTCTATTTTTTTATGTATAACTGTCAAAAAGTACCAAAATTTGCTGAAGAATTATTGAATCAAGGTTTAAATAAAGCTTTGAAATATTGTGGAATAAAATCAGGAAGAAAGGAATGGTGTAAGGAGGAATTTAAATAAGCAACAAACCAGGAGACCAAGAAAATAAGGCAGTGGAGGAGGAAAGATGGAGGCAAGGGTGTAGAAATTAAAAAAGGAATGTAGAAAGAATAGTGAGGCAATCCTGAGGAACAAAGTTTGTAAATACAGAATCGACTTTTATCCAGACTATCAGTTAACCAGTCATTTTAAAACCAGTAAAACCAGCTGTCTCTAATTGCTTTGCCAAATAAACAACTAAAGACTAAATCATGTAATGATATGAAGCAATAACACCTGGAGAATTATTAGAATAAACCACATTAAGTCAACTAAATCACTGCAACAGATCATATTAATTAAGGGACTTTGCTGCCAAGCATTTGCTCCCTGAAAGGTCCCACTTGATTTATGAGCAGGCGTTCCTTTTGGTCCACTCCACACACAGCTACTAACTCGAGATAAGAGCAGACTGAAGCTACAGAGATACCAGGCAGTCCGCTCAGAGACAGGGTGTGGTCTTTGCGCAGAGTGCACAGATTTTACACCGGCCTCAGAATGACAGGAGAGGCCGAAGCTGTGCTGCGGTGACAGGACGCGCTGCAAGATGAATTCAACCCACCGGTTCTGTTGCATAACACGCAGCGTAGAGACTGAACGCGCCTTGCGGCTTGACATAAGTCAGGATACAGACGTGGCTCTTGAGGTCGTTGCGAAGGCCTCTCCTCACCAGGTCGTAGGCCTCCTCCTTCTTCCCCAGGCAGTTGAGGGTCAAGCCCTTCATTGCCAGCGTCTCTGCAGCAGGAATATGACACGGCAAAGAGTTGACGAAAACGGTGAGGGGAAAATTCCCATCAGACAACACTTTTCTTACCTCCATGTTCTGCAAATTTGGAGTTGGACAGGATCTGTTTGCAGAACTTGAGCCCATTTCTGTACTGCTTGTGCTCGTAACATCGCTGTGAAAGGACAGGGGGATAAAAGACATTAGGCTCCGGAGACGACACCGATATCTACACTGAAACCCTCAAGATAGTGCTAAAGTCTGTCCTAAGAAGTCAAATGAAAAGTGAAATTACTTTCTGAACTTAAACCTCAAATAAATCTACAGAAAAACTGATGAACGTTTTCCACCTCTCATATGTGCTTCACACTTTTCGGCCTTATCCAGACAAATCAAAGCATCTGAGAAGATTAGAACGCTCACTGAATAGCTTAATTATCTCAGAAACATCTTCACACACACACTGTGCTGCACTCCAAGCCTCTACTTCTGTTCATTTTGATGGTTATTGATCGCAGCTAATGCAAACACCTCAGAGAATTAGATTAAAATTTAAAAAAAAAAAGAAAAAAGGGATTTTTAAAATTAGAAATGATGACTAAACATAACGGGGCTAATGACTGCTAGGCTGACAGTAATCCAGCAGGAAAGTCACTGACACTTTCCAGGAGGAAGCTACGCCAAAGAAGCTGGCTGTTTCCAGAGCGCTGCATCCGTCTGCCAGGAACTCTTAGAGCACTTCCTGCTTGCTTCTGCTGACAAGCTTTATGGAGATTTAATCTTCCACCAGGAATCTGTGTCTTACCACACTGCCAAAAAGCAACAATATCTGCTCCAATGAACATGGTATCACTGTGTTCTTTCCCTGAAAATGGTGTAACAACCTCATAGAGAAGCTATAAAGTAGTTTGTAGCTGAAAATGAATGATAACAGACCCAGACGCAAACTTAACATCGCTATCAAACCTTTAAAACCTCAGCAGCGCCGCAGTCTGATCGCCTCCATGCAACTCTGCACTGATGCAGCAATTCATGCAAAAGGACCAACCAATAATTAAATGCAGATGCTGCACACAAACTTTTAAAACAAACGCTTCTGTGTCGACATCAATTTTATTGATATGCTGTAACGTTTTGATTTTTTAATTATGAGAAACAAATGCTTGATGGATGTCTCTGATGAAGCTACATGAGGTTTTCTGTAAATTAATTATTTCATTGATGATAATCTAATTAATAGGGGAACACCTGCCATTACATTTACATTACTATTCCTCCCCATTAGTAGGAAAAAAAAAAACATTTCTCCTTTTGCAGATATGCAGATTTTCAGAAATGCGGAGCGTTTTGCCCTGAAGCTTTATCTAGGGATGCCGTTGAACAAACGCCACATCGCCTCTGCTGCTAAGCTGATTAGTGGCTGTCGGGCGAGACAACGGGGTTGTTTTTTTTTATAAGAGAGGAAGAGTTAATGTGGCAGATGGCATTTCGCTGACCCACAAACCGCTAAAATTAAACAAAAAGGAAGGAGGATGACATGAGCTTTGCATGCCACAGTTGGCTGGAACATGAGCCTGTTTATGACACAAAATGTTGAGGTAGCGCAACATGTGGTGTAGACAAATGAAAATGGTTAGTATAGGTTTTTCTGACGGTTTGTGGCTTTGATATGTTGTTTCTCTACATTTGCTTGTGCTGGACGATTAAGTGTCTGAATATCCACTGTAATCCTGCTTTGTGCATGAAAAGCTGATATTTCCCAAACAGAGCTGTTGGTTCGCAACTGAAATATGTTTTTCGCTGTACAAATTATAACTCCCATAAAGTAATATGCACGTATGACAATAATATAATATATAATCTGTAAAAACACGCTTCCACTCTCAAACAGAGGAACTTCTCCAAAAGCTTTTACAATTACATAAAAGTTAAGAATCCTGCAGAATTGCTTAAATTTCACATTACAAATAATTTTTATTTTAACAAAAGAAAGAGAAAAAAAAAACAGAGAGCCACAAACGCTGATAACGCCGTATGCAGCATCCGCGCATTTTAAAATAAATTTAGCAACATTAACGCAGCCAGCTGCGCTATCTCGACATGCTCCAAACAAAAATAACTCGGCCCCCTGAGTTGGAGAGAAAATCTGTCGGAGCATGCGTCTCCACGCTGCAGGGGCTCTCTGCCGGTGCCAACATTTGATTCTGACGAAACTTTTCAAAGCCTGTTTTCAGCGATGACACCACATTCTGTGTGAAAGGAAGTCAGACTGAAAGAGAGAAAAAGCTCTGCCACAGCAAGCTTCAATGTTACTCAGCACTTCATATCATGCTGCCTGGAAGCTGACTTTCATATTGCAAGAATGCTCAGTTTAATTAATGAATTCAGGAAATCATTTGTGAGATCAGAAAGTTTTCCTCGTTCTATTGCTAAACATCTGGAAATAGTTAAACAGCAGCCAATAAGATCAGATATTTTTAGGAATGCCCTGAGTTGTCGTTTGCTGGTTTTACCAATGTCTTTAAACACTGTAATGGCGTTCACATTTAAAAACAACCAAAAGTTTGAAGCATTTCCAGGCTGCAGCAACAAATGGATGTAACTCAGTAACGTTTCTGTACTCTCTTCAGCCTTCCTGTTACCTGCTGAAAGTCTCGCTCTCTCTCCAGGACACAAATTAAAATGCAGACATGCCTCATGTATAAAACAATGCAGTTTTCCTTAAATAGCTTCCTACATATCTATGCCCAAACAGTTCATTGAAATTTAAAATAGGCAAATATGTCAACTTTCATGCCCGAGTATGATTTCATCGAAACGTTCTGGCACTTGGATATGGTGCATTCAGAAAAAAGATCTACATTCTTGAGTTCCAAACTGGCAGTCAAAAATGATAAATAAATAAAAACAAACAAAGAGCTTGGCCAACAGAAAATTTCTCAGAACATTCTTAATTACTTATTATATGTTTTGTGGCGAGAAAAAAAGATGTCTTGAAACAACTAGATAATTTTTTTTGTGCAGACATGCAGGTGGTCTTTGAGGCCTTGACAATCCTGGGATTTAAAGGAATGTTGTTCTGTGACATATTACAGATATGCAATGCGGCAGCTCAGGGTTTGAGGTGCCGCATAGCCAGTCGACTGCAATGATTGGCTGAACAGTTTATTGTTGAAACAGAAAAGTTTGGAAATCAGCCACCGCAGCTTGTTGGCTCGTCATGCTACATCACAACTCAAAGCTTTAATGTTGATTCATTGTCATCACATTTTTATTGTGCACAACAGAAATACTAAATGCTGTGCCTTTCCTAATCAAATTGTAATTGTTTCACGTAAATATGCAAGGTCGGATAATAAAAGCTAACCTGCAGCAGTTGAAGCAGCCGACAGACTTGGCTGCTCTACTAATGGAAAAACTTAAAAAAAATAAAACAAAACAACACACTGACAGTGGAACATCCAACTTTAAACACAAACCAATTCTACATGTTCGAAAACTTATTCTGCAAGCATCCTATTCATCTAATATTATGCTGCAGATCCACTTTGGGAAATTAGAAATAAAGTATTTTTCTGTGCACTCCTAACAAGAGCTGGAGAAGAACCCGACAGGAAACCAAAGCCAAGTTTTACGTTATTTTTTTATAAGGAGAAATACGACGTTTGTCTGATTTCTCTTATTTTTTCTGCAATACGCTTAATGCTGCTGAAGTCACTGGTGTTGATTTGACAAACTGGCGCACAAATAACTGATAGTAATGATTTTTTGTTTGTTTTTTTTTGCAACAACTGATGGAATTTGGTCAGAGAAAACACATAGCACCAAATGAGGAGGACATACTGGATTGTTTAAGGGTGTGAAATCTTAGCTGTTTCCCAACCAAAGTTTCATACAGACCAGGCGGTAATTCGCAGCAGCGAGGGGGGCGTTATGTACCCGCTTTTGACAGCTGATGATTTAAAGTAATTCATCAGTTAACGTAGTTTTACATTTTGTCAAATGCAGCTATTTGAGATCTTAGATGCCAATAAATAAGTCTTTGCAGGTTGCTTAGAATCACTTTCTGACTATATGATGTAACTTAATTAATTGTATGGGAGATTTGAACACTTCTTATTAAGCACTTACTATGGAACTTGAACACACTGTGCTTATCCCTCTAAAGATGACTAAAATAGTAATATTGAGTCAAAATTGTCCATTTGACAACCGATTATAGCTTTAATACCACTCAACACCACAGTGCCATGTGCAGAAGTGATTAGTTTGGAAATTCAAGTGCAGATTACAGTCCTTTTTTTTATTTTTTATGTAGACCTGCTGATTGGCAGCAGTCTGCTAAATGATGTCAACATCATCTGGCTCCCTGCAGAGCCACCGGCTCTCAAAACAATCATGTTTATCTGAATCGGATAATGGTGATTTACCTGCACACACTGGTTCCTGGAAAGTGTGTCACTACTGTACAGACACCCGCACTAAAGTGCAACAATATATACACACACACAACACAAAGCGCGGTAGAAGTAGAAAGCAGTTCCTTCGGTGAGAATATGACCAAACCGAAGTAAAGTTTGATTAGTAACTCTTTTTTTTTTTTGCCACACCTGTCAGCGTGCAGACAAGTTCACAGCGAGGCTACATACAGGCATATGCGTCCATGGAGCATTGGGATGAACGTGCGGGCCTAAAATCCGCTACAAACACGGTGACACGCTCGCACACCGCTCCTGGTTGTGATTTTCCTCCGTGCAAGAAACGCACAACCCCAATCTGCCCTGAGCTAATCGCGAACAGCAGCCGCAACAGCGCTAAAAAAGACATTTAATCAACACCAACTGACAGACCGCTTACCCCCGCTAGCGAGGCTGACAAGCGCTAGCCGGTTAGGAACCCCGAAATTTCCCCGAAAGCTTTGTTGCAGCCCCTGTTTCTAATGTAGGACGTATAGTAGATGGAGTGTCTGTCTGTATTTGATGAAAAGCGAAAAGCCAAACGCCACATTGCATTCAGAAGTGAGCCATTAGGGGAGAAAGTGGAAGCTAACTTGGAGGCTAACGTGTGGCTAGGGAGTTAGCTTACATGGAGGCTGTTTGTTGTGACAAACGGCGGGCCCTGACGCTAGCCGACTGTCAACTGTGCATAACATCAGCCACGCAACTGCACTATTCGCTGTGGCTTAATATGAACAACAAGTTTTTTTTTTTTCAGAACAGTCGCAATATCACTGCCAGCCGTTAACGCACAGCAGTGACAGCGCATATTAAGGCCCAAGGCTAGCTGGCGGGCTAGCTAACTCAATGATGACATTTTGCTATCATACTGAAGCGGCTGTCAGCTCACTGATGATCAAGACCCGAAAGTCGGCTGCTGTTGACCGCGCGGCCCTTTAAGGAATAACTCACCAAAATCCTCTTGAAGAGAGCATTCTCCTTCGGCGGTAAAGTAACCGTGGGCATCGTTGCAGTCGGAATCGACCTCAGCACATGTAGCTAAAGTTAGCCCGGGTAGTCCAGATGAGTTGAGCGCCGTTAACCCCGCTTCTCCTGCTTCAGCCACTCTCTGCTCGATTGCTCCGTTTTCTCTTCTCATTCATTTCCTCCTCACGTGCTGACGGAGGAGCCGAGATTTGACATGTTTAGGTAAAATCAATCTGTCCAGATCAAGATCAGGCATCGTTTAAAATGGACATAATAAAGCTGAAATTGATAGATAGATTTTTATTTTTTATTTTTATTTTTTTTTACAATTTTTTTACCATTAATGAAGTAATCATTTCTATTACACAGTTTCAGATTAGAGTTTGACATTTTGGCAACATTTCAGATAAACAAATAACGTAGAAAGAGAAAAATCTAGAAAAAGTGTCACTAAGGTAAAATCAGATTAAGATAATTATTTTTTAAATAAAAGTCAAATATGCAAAAAAATCTCAGATTACATTATAACAAAAGTTATAATGCCAAGATCAAAATCTAAAAGCCCAAAATAAGGTGAATATATATGTATATATACATATTATCTGAGAAATGTCGAGTTTAAGGCCAAAATGTGATTCAAATATGGGAAGAAGAAATTAATAAATGTAAAGAGAGTCAAAAACACAATGCCAGAAAATATGTATTTGCTGATAATACAGTAATTATGATAAAACTATTGAGATTAAGGTGAAATAAAAAGAGTTGAGCAAACATTTAGCCTTTTTTCTATTATTATCATAAATCCTAATATTAAGGTTAAAATCACAATGTCTGATTAAATCACAAAGCGTCAGAAAAGGATTCTCTTCTTGTGAAGTAGGCCTAGTACTCCATGTGACATTTTGTTCAATACCAATAAGTAGAAGACAGTTTTCAAGTGGAAGAAATTGAGACGTGTCTTTTTTTTTTTTACATCTGTTTGCAGCCCCCTTTACTCTGATACAACCAAATACAGTCCAGTTTAATGAACTGCCTTCAGAGGTCAAGTGATTGGTCACTGTCCTGTGAAGGCCTCCGAGATTGGTTCAAGAAGGCACTACAGAACTTTTTATGCCGACAGACTGTAAAGCCACTAGAGGGCGCCATATTACCGCATACAAGGTCAAACTCCATGGCCGCTCCACTCCTTGCACATTTCTCAAGCTGTGAAGAGGGCAGGCAGTGTTTTAGACGTGTGATCAAATATGTTTACATTGATATCTAGTTGTCGAACAAACTGGGGTCGCTTTTTATGCAGAGCAGTGATGAAACTGGCTAAAACAAACGGAGAGCAAAGTTATTGGAAGGGAGTTAAAAATGAGCGAGTTGTGTGTCCGTGTTCGTTCAGGCTTTACTCTGCGGTTATCTGGTGGCCTCCTGCTCCTCCACCACCACAATGGCTCCTGCACCACATTCATCAAGTTGACACCAGACACACACACATACACACTTTCCCCCCCTCCATCACTCCACACCACCACATCCTCTGTTCCCTCTGTCCCCCGTCTCTCCTCTCCACATTTCTTCAGCACCATTTCATTATCTTATTACCTTCAGAGAGGAGTGAATCATCCTTTAAGCTCATCTCCTTCTTTGTGACACATCATTTGTTGATCTGATTGGTGTCATAAATGTCCCTGCAGATTGTGCTCAAGGCTGGTGTTTGTGTGTGACTACACAATAGGGCTGGACAATATATTGAATGGTAGTTGAAATTGCAATATCAGTGCATGCAGAATCGCAGTCGCTGCCTGGACGTTTGGTTTGGTAAGACGCGATATTTCTAATGTCATACATCTACGCTCTGTACATTGATACGTTAATAGACCGGTTAGAAGAGCAAGAAACACAGCAGACAGGTCAGGAATAGAGGTGTAAAGAAGTTCAAGGCAGAAAACAATATCTCAAGCTTTGAACGTCTCACTGATGTAACGGATTGTGTCCCTGGAACGGCGGCTTCCTCCAGCAGACATGACTTTCAAGTTACCTGGTCTGTCTGTATTGCCTTTTTTTGTGTGTGCATGGTTGTTTGTCTGCTGTGTTGTAGTGTGATGGACTGGTAACCTGTCCATGGTGGACCTCATCTCTTGCCCAGTGAAGACAGGTACCAACTCTGTCTTCACCATCACTACTCCACAAGGATGAGCGGGTGTAGACAATGGATGGATGGAGTTTTCAACAAACTTGGCTGCATCTTTCTTTTCTAAGCTAAATTTGAACCCCATTTCCCAATTTAACATGAATTGTCACCTAAATTACCAGATGGATCAGCGTCGTCTAGACAGAAATCTTTATAACAAACTCATTCCAAATTCACTTTTCCATGCCTTTCATGAAAAAGGCTGCAAAGTAGCAAGAAAAAGACTCAGAAAAGATTAGTCTTCTTGACTCAGAAAAAACCCCTTTATTTTTAAATGGAGGATCAGTTTGTTGAGGACTGTTATCTAAAAAAAAGGTCTCAAATGGAGCTTTTGGCAGCAAACTGATTGCTGTTCAGAGTAACCTCCATTCATGTCCAAGGCCAAAACTGAGATGACGATCCTGGTCACGATCAACAAACTTCCAGAAAACTGTAAAACAGCGGAAACCCTGACTTTCTTTAAATCTCAACTAAAAACACACCTGTTCAGGATTGTATTTGAAATGTAATATGTAAAATGTATTTTTATTCTATGTCGCATGGCTTTGTGTTTATGATGTAAAGCACTTTGAAATGCCTTGCTGCTGAAATGTGCTATACAAATAAAATTGGATTTGATTCAGAAAAGACACTATTTCTGAGAAAACTGAAACTGAAGTGAAACTATCAAAAATGTAATGTTTTGAATTTTACAGATACCAAATAAATTGTTGGCTAAAAGGTCAACAACCAGATTTAGATGAAGAAAATCCCAATGCTTGTGCTTCCACAGCTGCTTGGATTTTCCACATCCCTTGCATCACCTCAGTTTCGCTCTCTCTAGAGATTTCAGGTCGAGCTCCGAGTTGAAGCAAACCTGGAGCTTTTCTCCTCCACTGACATCACAGCCCATCTTCCTCTTATCCCTCCCTTCATCCTTCCTCTTCCTCTCTCTCTTATTTTTTTTTATCTGTCCAAGGTGGTGTCGCCACTGAGCATGAGTAATGATGCTGTCATCTCCGTGAGTCTCCATTTATCAATGTCAAACAGAAGCACAAGAGTTTGGTGGTTGTGTGCGCGGCGATGTTGGTGGGTGGGGGGTAGAGGGTGGACGGAAAAACATGGCAACTGGGGAAATGCGAGGAGGTAAAGGTGTAGCAGCAAGTCGAGAGGAAGAGGTGGAGGTTTATGGCTATGATGAGGAGGATGAAGAAAGAGGTGCGGCAGATGGGGGGGGGGGAGGAGAGTGTTTGAAAGAAGCTGGGTTTAACAACAGCATAAGGGTTTTATGTCTGTTTATGCCAATGCAGAGCCAGTGATCCACTGTGCTACTGTCAGGCAGAATCATCTCTTGATTTCTTTGCAGGTATAATTACAATTATGCAAATCAGAGTGACAGTTCATTACAGTGATAGTTAAGTCTCATTGTGCATTTGTCTCCAGATCCTGAAACCAAACGATTTTCTGCAAACACAGGAAGAACTCAATCCAGTTTTCATTATAGCGGTGATGATCCAAGTGACAATCCAAACACATGCATCCATCCTGCTAATTAGGATACAAGAGGCTCTCCGGATATAGTTTGCTGGCAGTGATGCTATGTGTAGGCAAACAAGACAGCAAGGCTTGAAAAACAGATCCATCTTGAATGTTGAGGAAAGGTAGTTTGTCATTTAGCTCGATGTACAGGAACTACACAGAAAACCCTTGCTGGTGAAGACTGTCATGCACCTGTAGTGTGAGTTTGCATGATGTGCAGAACTCTTTTAGACTGACCCCGAACAAACTGCTACATAGTTTTAATCCCAGGTTTGTCTAAATGAGCAAATGCAACCGAATTATCGATAGTCACCAGCTACCATGACATACAATTAACCGCCTTTATTATTCAGTGTTTGCAACAATGTTTAATACATTGTGTGATCGCCTCTTTCAGCAACACAAATTTTGCTGTTAAAATGTTAACTCAGAATGGAGATTATTTTTTTAGATGCTGGTCTTTTTTTTTTGTAGTTGTGCAATTTTAATTTGTGAGTTTGGTATTTGCAGGGTTTTCTAATATATGTATGATTTGTTTTTCCAACTGAACATTTTGGCAACGCTCCAGAACAGCTCGGCAAAAAAATGACAATTGCTTGTTTTAAATAAAAATGGAGTGAAATGAACATATGAGTCCTTTAAAGAAGAGTGAGGACAAAAGTGTCAATATTTGGGAAAAAAAAAGAATGACTGTGCATACATAAAGATGTTGACAATTCAAAGGAACCCAACAAACAACAGATCAGTTTAATATGACCAGCGAGAACATTCTCTCTTTATTGTATCTTTTTGAAAAAAAAAAAAAATCTTCTGTAATTCTCTTTTGTTAACATTTCAATATTCTGTACAAGATAAAAAGAAGTAAGCACTGCTTAAGAACAAAATCTCAAACTAAAAAAAAGAGAGGAGGTTTACAATACAAATTAGTAGTAAGACATTGTCTGAAGTGCAATGGCATAGCTCAGATGGATTAAAAGTGAAACCGAAAAGGAAAAAAAAAAATAAAAATACTCTATTTTTCAACAAACAGTAAATTCTTTACAGAGTAGAGACTGTAATATCTGATGTATTTAAACCTGTAAAAACATATTTACAAATAGCCATCATCTTTTATATACTTTTTTCTCATAATCACATATATATGTCAGCACCAGTAAAAAAAAAAAATAAAATAAAATAAAATAAGAACAAAGAACATCAACAACAACCATTTTTGTTAAAATGTTGTCTACAGACTTGGTCCCAGTATTGTGATATTTGGAGGAAGCTTCTGTTCTCTTGTCTGAAATAATTTCCAAACCAGATCTCAGAGCTCTCACTTCTAAAAAGGACAAGACAGACACAGAGGGCCTTCAAACACCTTTCTCCTCCCACTTTGGCGTGGAAATGAAGTCCGAGCCTGCCTGGGCGCACGTCGGAGTTCTGGAAGAATGAAATTCCTTCCCCC